CACACCGCATACGGACACTGGGATTACGTGTAGGGTCCTCCTGATCATCTCCCCGTCCAACAGCCTTAGCGTGATCACACCTGCAAAGCCCTTCACCATATAGGTGACGGGCATCTCCGGGGGCCTTTATTCAGTCTCTCACACTCCATTTATTCCCCTCTCAAGATCTATGCTGTTCTTGTCAGAAATTTTAATTCTTTAGATATATTTTAAACCCATAAAACATTATTAATTTAATTCTTTCTTCAATTGGGTCTAATCTGCTATTAAACCACTGTTTTTAACGAGCTTTATTTTTTATTTTATTTTATTTTTTAATTTTTTTTTTGTTTGAGACAAAGTCTCGCTTTGTTGTCCAGGCTAGAGTGAGTGCCGTGGCATCAGCCTAGCTCACAGCAACCTCAAACTCCTGGGCTCAAGCGATCCTCCTGCCTCAGCCTCTCGAGTAGCTGGGACTATAGGCATGCACCACCATGCCTGGCTAATTTTTTCTTTATATATATTTTTTAGTTGGTCAATTAATTTCTTTTTATTTTTAGTAGAGATGGGGTCTCACTCAGGCTGGTTTCGAACTCCTGACCTCAATCCGCCTGCCTCGATCTCCCAGAGTGCTAGGATTACAGGCATGAGCCACCACGCCCGGCCATAACGAGCTTTATTAAGGTGTGATTTACATACAATAAAATAGACTGATTGATAATGTGTAATTAAATAAATTTTCACTAAGCTTTCTTGAAGTTTTTATACTTTTTTAATGTTTTAATTTTGAAAAGTTTCAAGCTCTTAGAAAAGTTATAATAATAGTACATACTTTCCACCAAATCTTCCAATTCTTTTTTTTTTTTTAGCCACTAGACCACCAGGGAGTGCCGATTGTTAACATTTTGCTATATTTGCTTTTATTTTTCTCTATATATGTAATCATATTATAGTTTTTTGTTTTAATTTTCAGAACCATTTTAAGTATAGCCATAGCAACCCATTACCTCTAAATACTTCAGCATGGATATCAAAAGAATAAGGATATCTCCATTCACAACTGTAATGCAATTAAGTCATTTAATAATTTTCTTTTTTTCTTTTTTCTTTCCTTTTTTTCCCTTAGAAACTGATATTTATTTTCTGTCAATCTCCTTCCTTCCTTCTTCCCTCCCTCCCTCCCTTCCTTCCTTCCTTCCTTGACAGGGTCTCACTCTGTTGCCAGGGCTATAGTGCCATGGCATCAGCCTAGCTCACAGCAACCTCAAACTCCTGAGTTCAAGCAATCTTCCTGCCTCAGCCTCCCAAGTGGCTGGGACTACAGGCGCCACCACGCCCGGCCAATTTTTTCTATTTTAGTACAGACAGGGTCTTGCTGTTGCTCAGGCTGGTCTCGAACTCCTGAGTTCAAGTGATCCTCCTACCTTGGCCTCCCAGAGTACTAGGATTACAGGCGTTAGCCACCATGCCTGGCCTGTTTTCTGTCAATCCTAAGAGCTGTGGAAGAATAGCTTAAGACCACTCAGTGGTTGATCTTGCCCATTCAGCAGCCTGGGGAGTGGGCACTGCAGGCCAGGCTTCTGTGGCCAGCTGAGTGCTCTGGTTTTCAGCAGGAATCTGCTGAACAGGCCCGGGAGGCACCTGCAGGCCTTCAGACCAGTCAGCAACCTCAGGTTGGGTAGCTGTGAACTCAGGAGGTAGCGTGGTCCATTCATCCTAAAAGTCCTTCTTGGTCCCAGCTTGGCAGCAGCAGCCTACTCTTCCTTTTCAGTCCCTTTGGGGTCTTTGCGTAAGTAGAGATCAGGCATGACCTCCCACAGGTGTTCACAGGAGACAATGCCATACATGTATAGAATGTCCCAGGCCATCAGACCCACTGAGCGAGCTCCCTTGTTGCATGCAATGGCAAAGTCCACATGGCACAGAGGAGAGCCCGTGTCACGCACAGCATGTGGGTAGGTGAACATAAGATACCTCTGTGAGAGGCTGGTGGTCAGCCCGAGTCGGGTCAGTAGCCACCAGCAGATGTAGCTCCTGGGAGGCTGCCTGGACCTGGTTAGTGGAGGTTCTAGGAGTGGCTCCAGGGGCAGCTGCAAACGTCAGCACAACCTGCTGGCCAGTAGTCCTAGAGGACATGACACTGCCATTAGCTGGGTTATCGATGGCAGCAGTGGTATCACTTGTCAGTAGTAGCTTCTCCTGGGTCCTCTTCAGATTTACGATGCAGATGTCATCACTTTCCTTTTGCACATGTACTGTCCCATTCGGACATCAAGATTGGTGCCACCTAAGTAGGTTCCTGCTGCAAGGAATTTGAGGATGTCCTCCTCCTTGATTTGTAGGACTTCAAGGGCTCCGGACAGTGTAAAACTTTCCATTTAAGTCGCAAGAGGAATCCAGAACAACACTGGTTGGACCCCTCTCTGGGTGGTGTGGAAAGGCCATTTAATAATTTTAGAATTTATCACTGGTAGAATTTTATCATGTAAAACACAGTACATAGTCCAAGTTGTGAATTATCCCAATCATGCACTTTATAAACCCTTTTTTCCTCATCCAGGATCCATTCCTGCATCATGTATTGAAGGTTTCTGTTCATTTTTGTTTTGTTTGTTGGTTTTATCTTCCTGCAGGGAGATTCACATTTTTTTCTGGCAGGTGGCTAGGTTAGCAGATCACCTTAATTCACTCTGGGCTTGAGGAAATTCAAGGCTGGGCTTCAGTTCCTGTAGGACAATTCAAGTCTGGGCTTCAGTTCCTGGTTCACCTTTACTTTTAGGGTATAGCCCTTTGGGGTCCCCACTGAAAGCCTAAAGTGTTCACCAGGGCCTCTCTGCGTGAACTCTGAATTCCGTCCCATAGCCCTGTGAGTCCACCAAGAACCTTGCAGTTATGATTGGAATGTCCTCTGGTGGTTTGGAGCCCAGGTCCAAATGCTCACCTCACCACTCTGGGAAACTTTCTCCCAAATCTTGGCCCTGTAAATCTTTGCTGCCTTTGTAGCGCTCCAGTGCTGCAAACAGATTTTGCAAACAGATTTTGCTGTCCAGCTTTGCTAGCTGTTCTGAGGAGGAGGGTTTGACTGAAACAACTGTTCCCATTGCTGGAGGCCCTTCTCTTCAGTTTTGGCCTGGTGATTCCTCAGTCTTTTCAGTTCTGTAATTCTTTTAAGATTTGTTTTTCAGATCATTTATCCACTGCTTTTAGTCGTTTTCTCTGGAGTGTTTGGACTGAATCACAGCCTGCTATTCCTGGAAAGAGACGTTTCTGTGCTGTCATTTTTTTTCTTAGCTTTCCCTCCCTTTCTTACCTTTTAGTTTTTTATCAAATTTTTTTCCACTAAATTTTTTTTTTGTATTACATTTTTACCTTTCTGCTGGCTTGGAATCTATACACTGTCTTTTAAATGGCTAATTATGACGTCTTTTGCAATTTCAGCATAAGAAGACCTAATGTTAGACAACATCTTAACCCCTCTCCCCAAAATAGAAAAAAACCCAGAGCACTGTGACTCTGATGACCCTCTGCACAACTTGTGGGCTATTGCTGTCCAGTATTTCAGTTTTCTTCTTATTATACTGTTCATTTCATTATTATTTTATACAATGTTTGCTTGAAGTCACATATGTACATCGGACTATAGTCATCACACAGTATCCCTGGGGATTGGTTCTAGGACCTCTGAGATCACCAAATCCCCAGATGCTCAAGTCCCAGATACAAAATGGCATAGTATTTTGCACACAACCTACACATACCTTTCCACACACTTTAAATCATCCCTAGAGTACTTATAATACCTAATACAATGTAAATGCTATGCAAATAGTTGTATTGTTTTAAATTTTGTACTATTTTTTTTGTTGTATCATTGGTTTGTTTTGGAGACAGGGTCTCGCTCTGTCACCCAGGTTAGAGTGCAGTGCAGTCATCATAGCTCACTGCAGCCTCAGACTTTGGGGCTCAAGTGAGCTTCCTGCCTCAGCCTCTGGGGTAGCTGGGACTACAGGCGACAGCGTGCCCTGCTAATTTTCCTATTTTTAGTAGAGACCAGACGGGGTCTTGCTCTTGCTCAAGCTGGTCTGCAACTCCTGAGATCAAGCGATCCTCCTACCTCGGCCTCCCAAAGCGCTAGGATTACAGGCTTACGTGACCGACAGCGCCCTGACAGCAACCTCAAACTCCTAGGCTAAAGCGATCCTCCTGCCTCAGCCTTCTGAGCTGGTGGGACTACAGGCATGCGCTACCGTGCCCGGCTAATTTTTTTAATACATTTTTAGTTGTCCAGATAATTTCTATTTTTTAGTAGAGACGGGGTCTCGCTCTTGCTCAGGCTGGTCTCGAACTCCTGACCTTGAGCGATCTTCCCGTCTTGGCCTCCCAGAATGTTAGGATTACAGGCGTGAGCCACCGCGCCGGCCTTAAAAAGTATTTTAAATCCGCAGCTGGTTGAATTCACGCACGCAGAGTCCGCGGATCCGCTGCTCTGGCGAGCCTGGGGCCACGCGGGGCCACCTCGCATCTCCCTCTGCAGCCCTCACCCAAACCAGCCAGCCCGGCCCAGAGCTTCGCCTCCGCAGGCACCTGCGCCCGACCCCTCCCCGCCGCCCGGCCACCGAGGGACTGAGCCCGCGGTCCCGACCGGCCTCCCGAGTCCGCCGCCCCGGCCTGTTCCGGCTCCGGCCCGACCTGCTCGGAGCACGAACCAGACGGGGCTCGACGCGCACCCCGGCCGACCAAGCGTTCCTCGGAGAGCCTTTCCCGGGCTTAGTCGCTCGGCCCCCGCCACCACCTCGGCGGCGGCGCCCAGGGGAGCAGCGGGAGGAGCGTCCGCCGCCCGCGGCCTCCCCCGCCGCCGCCGCCCCGCCGCCCCGCCGCGCGGCCACATGGGCGCGCGACCCGACCCGGAGTGCGGAACCGCGGTCCCGGCGGCGGAGGCCGCCGCCGCTGAACGGAACTGGGCCGGGCAGTCCGGGACGCCCCCAGGCGGCCCCGCACCCTAGCCGCGCGACCCCCGCGACCCCGGCGCCCCGGCCATGGGAGCTCCGCGGTCCCGGGCCGCCCGCGCCTGGGTCGTGTGCTCCCGCGCCGCGCTGCTCGCGCTGCTGGCTGCGCTCCCGGCCGCCCCGGCCGAAGCCCCGTACCTGGTGCGCGTGGACGCGGCCCGCGCAGTGCGGCCCCTGCGGCACTTCTGGAGGAGCACGGGCTTCTGGTGAGCGCTCTGCGCAGGGAAACTGAGGACCGAGCGTCCCACCCGCCCATATCGCTCGCTCTTCCCAAGCCCCGGAAGCCCACCCTGCCCCTGGCCTCAGGGACCCTCTTGGCGCATCTAGGGAGACACTCGGGCTCGCTTGCCTGTGGTCTTGAGTACAGTAGGTGCTCCCAAGAGAGGACAGGGCCCTCTGCTCATCCCCGTGCCGCCCAGCGCGTGTGGTGGAGGCCTGGAGCAGCCCTGAGCTTGGCTAGTGGCCTCCAGACTCAAGAAGCTTGTGGCTGCCCCCAGGGGCTCAGGGCACTGCTTGTGGTTGAGGCAGACCAGGAGTCTCCCGAGAGGGGGCAGCCCCAGGGGTGTCACATGACCTGGCTGCTGTCCTGTGTGTCCCCAAGCCCCTCAAAGTGGGCTGAGAGTCTCCTGTATGGCAGGGCAGCGGGTGGGGTGGAACATGGTTTTCTGTCCCGTGGGAGCTCCCTTCCCGGAGAAGACAAGACTTCACAACGTTCCTGGCATTAGGGTCATTTTATTATTCACTGAGTAGACAAGCACCAATCAGTCGCCTGGAGCCCCACCAGTCATGGGTCCTGGATTTATAGGGGCCGGATGTGTAGGGAGACTGCGCTGCTGAGCAGGGCCCAAGGCTCAGGACTAACACAGCCACCCCTTCTGTTCCCAGTCCCCCGCTGCCACACAACCAGGCCGACCAGTACGTCCTCAGCTGGGACCAGCAGCTGAACCTCGCCTACGTGGGTGCTGTCCCTCACCATGGCATTGAGCAGGTCCGGACTCACTGGCTGCTCGACCTCATCACAGCCAGGTGGGTGGTGTAGGGGTGGGCCTCCTGGGGCAGCTGGCCAGAGTCCCCGGAGAAGAAGGCGAGGCCAAGTGAGGAGCCAGCCTGGCCTCACGCTGTGTTGGACAGTGTGGGCCGGGACTGCTGCTTGGAGGACCCATTGCCCTTACACTTCCTGTTACAGCATCCTGTTGGGGAGGGAAGGTGGGAGGACGTTCTCACTGGCTGTGCTCCGGGGGGCCAGTGGGGCAGTGTGTGTTGGGGACAACTGCTGGATGGGACACAGCTGGCTTCCCCCTGGAGATCACCTTGGAGGTTGAGGCCTACTTGGTGTTGTGTGGCATGTGGCTTTGTGTGCCAGGCCTGAGTGCTGGGCTGAGGTTCTATTGCTCACACCACCTTTGGCCCTGACACTGGATCTCCTTCCCTGGAGCAGGCTGTCACCCTGAGGGGGAGGCATAGGGCAGGAGCGGGCGCAGGGCACTTGGGTGTGGAGGGCTTAGAGAAACAGAGCTCCTCATGCCTTTGGCCAGAGTCGCCAGCCCCTACCCTGTGGGGCTAAGGCTGGACAGGCCCTGGGATAGTGTGTCCTTTTGGCACCTTGGAGGCTGCATGATTTGCAGGGACCCTTGTTCAAATAAGACAGTGACACAGAGTGTCAGGTCAGGCACAGCACTTCTGGGCTCAGGCTGAGGGACTGCATGGGTGGCTGGCATCACAGCCCAGCCAGCATCCTGGGGGCAGCACTTGTCTCAAAGGTGAAGGATCTTGATTATTGAGTGGCTGGGGTCCTTGCATGTGATCAGAGTGTCCCCTTCCCCTTCCCCAGTTGGGGTTCCCTGGTTTCCTAGGGCAGAGGCGGTGCAAGAGTGCACCTCCCTGATGACTCCAGCCCTTGGCATCGCTCCCCGGGAGGGATCTTGGCGATGGCTGCAGATCTGCACTGCAGGCTCCCAGCAGGGAGTGGTGAGCAGGCCCTGGCCCTGCTAGAGGGTGGAGTCGGCAGCCGCCAGCTCCCCATGGCGGGCTCGTGCTGCCAGAACGGCACTGTGCACGCTGTGGAACAGCTGTTCCTCCTCAGCCACGTCCCCCTGGTCCTCCCTGAGGAAGCCACCTTTCCCCAGAGCATCCCTCACTGGGGGGCTGCAACAGGCCAGGAGCAGGCTGATGCCCAGGGCCTTATAGTCTTGGCGCAGACCCTGCAGTGTGGCCATGCCAGTCGTATCCAGGAACAGCAGCGGGGCACAGTCAATGACCACTGTGTGGAAGCCCGCCGCTGTAGGCACCAGCGCGGCCCTGCTGCTCCCGGGGCCATCTTTGCTCTCGACAGGGTCTGTTTCGCTGGCCCCCACCTCTGAGCTCCGTTCCTTCCTTCTGGCAGCCAAGCGCCCTGCGTCTAGCCCCGTGAGGCTGTAGAGGGACTGCAGGAAGAAGTCCTTGTTGGCATAGTAGAGTGGCCCTGAGAAGCGGAACACCTGGACCCTGGGCTCAGGGACGAGGCCCTCAAATTCTGTGGTATCCTCGTAGAATGCTGAGTCCCCGATGCGGGCGAGTAAGGCAGCATGTGGGCGCTGTGTACGGCCCACCAGGCTGAGCAGCGAGAGGATCACGCCGGCCAGCAGCCCGGCCTCAGTGCTGACCAGCACGCAGGTGGCCGCGGTGCCCATCCAGACCAGCGCATCAGCTGGGCTCAGCCGCCACAGCCGAGGGAGATCTCTCACCTTGCGTAGGGCCCCACGCAGGCTGACAACAATGACACACGCCAGCACGCTCCGCTGCAGGTCCCGGAACAGTGGCGCCAGCACCAGCAGCACTAGCAGCACCACGGCGGCGCTGACCACACTGGACAGCTGCGTCCGGCAGCCAGTGGAGGTCTTCACCAGGCTCTTGGCAAGGGCAGCGCTGGTGGCAAAGCAGTGGAAGAAGGCAGGCAGCACGTTGCAGCAGCCCACGGCCAGCAGCTCCTGGTTGGCGCGGATGGAGTAGCCATGGTTGTGGGCGAACATCTCCGCTAGTGAGATGGAGAAGGCTGAGCCCACGAGGGCCAGGGCCACGGCGTCCAGGGCCACACGCTGCATCAGCTCTGGGTCTGGCACCCGTGGAGCCACAAAACCAGTGGGGATGTTGCCAGCCACACTTGAGCCAAAGCGCTCATGGAGCTGCCCAAAGTGGGACACAAGCGTGGCCACCACAATGACCAGAAGCTCTGTGGGCAGTGGCACCCTCAGGCGGTGCCGGCAGCGGTCTGAAAGCTCCTTAGCAACCAGCAGCACTGCCAGACATATAGTGCTGGTGACCACATCGCACACGTTGGCCTGGCTGGCGCTACGAAGCAGGCTTAGCCATGTGCTGACCACCATGCCCAGCCCCTGGTGCCGAGGCATCCGCACGCCCAGCAGGTGCCTGAGCTGCGAGGTCAGGATGGTCACGGAGGCCCCCATGGCAAAGCCATCGAGCAGCGGCTGCGAGAGGTAGGCGGACACGAAGCCCAGCTGGAGGACGCCCATAAGGACCTGTGGACAGAGTGTGGTCAGGCCAGCAGGCTGTCCAGCAGGAGCTATGTGCCCTGCCACTGGCACTTGGTGTGGCCTGAGGGGCGTGGTCGCAGCACAGAGTCTGACAACCCACTGCTCCAGCTGCCTGTTTTCCAAATCAGACTCCTCCTATGTTCCTGCACTGCACACCTGCACACACACCAGCGGATACTCGGACACACCCATGGGTGTTGCATGTGTACACCGTTGGCCATGGATGCTCACTTCTTACCCTCTCGCATGCACAGGAACCAGTTTTATTTCAGAATTGAGGCCTCTGGGCTCTAGGCATTAAAAAAGCCTTTCTTCCTGTTTCCTGCACGTGGCACTGACCCCCATTGCCCTGCAATAGCACTGACCCCCCAGTGCCCTCCCGTGCAGACATGGAGCCGACGGGGAACTGGAGTGGGCAGGCCTTAGGTAGGAGATAGCCAGATGTGGGGAGCTGCAGTAAGGCAGCCCTGTACCCCAGGTTCCACCAGGGAAAGAAAGCTCAGGAGGCCATAGTCTGGCTTGACTGAGCCCCAGCCACTGGCCAGGCTGGCTCTCAGGACCCCTCCCCACTGCGCCCTCAGCCCTTGGGTGTCAGTGCCTTGCCCTGGAATGCTCTTGGAGGCCCAGCTCCGCCTGTGCCTTGCTCTGTCCTCTCCAAGGCCCCAGCCTGTCCTCCGGACCTGAACCCATATTTCCTCCCAGGCTTGCCCCTGTGGTAGGTGAGGGGCACCTAAGAGTGGGGTGTCCTGAGCGGCTGAGTGGCCCACTTTTACCCGCGTGCAGCTGGCTCCTCACCTGGTAAACCCCGGCCACCAGTGTGAGGGCAGTGGCGACGCGGATGGCGTAGCAGTCCCGCCCACAGTCGGGAGGCCCAAGCACCAGCGTGGCAGCTGAGTCGTTGAGGTTGCTGCCGTTGGCTCTGGGCCCCAGGCTGTCCTGGGAGGGGTCGAAGCCAGCCAGGTGGAGCTCGCGGTCAACCACTTGCCCCACCATGAGGCAGAGCAGACTGAAGATGCCCACGGAGATGTGGCGCGAGGTGCCCATGAAGAAGTAGATGAGGTTGGCGAAGAAGGACGTGTAAAGGCTGTAGATGGGCTGCAGCCCGGCCAGCAGCGAGTAGGCGATGGCCTGCGGCACCAGGATGATGCCAATGACTAGACCTGACATGATGTCACCCGCCAGGTACTCCCGAGGGCGGTACTGGCGCAGCCAGCGCGTGGCAGGGATCAGGTCCTGCACCAGTGCCCTGGCTCGTGGCAGGCTGCACGTGCAGCTTCGCAGCAGCCTGGCCTTCAGTGTTTTGCGCAGACCCTGGGGCACCGGGGGCTGCCGTCGGACCAGCACCAGCCCCCTGCCCTGCTGCAGGGGCTCAGAGGACACCTCCATCCTGCAGCACTAGGCCGCTCAGCCCCACCTGCAACAGAGAAAGGGGCATGGCCTTGGGGTCCCAGGGCCTGGGTCTCAACCAAAAAGTCTCCGACAGGGGCAAGTGCTGCTACTGCCCAGGGCAGGGGTCAGAGGTTGCCCTGGTCTCGGGAGATGAGGGGACTGGGCCAGGAGCTGGTGCTGAGCCCCTCCCAGCAGCATGGGCCCAGACACCCTACCCCATCTGGATGGACATCAGGTCCTGCTCACTCCAAGGTTCCTTCCATCTGTGGGGTGAGACATGATTACGACAATGGGCCACGTGCCTGGGGTGTGCCAAGGCCATTGGTGCTGAGGGGTGGCCCAGCAGTTCCTGCCTCAAATCTGCCCTAGCCTCCTGCCACTCACCTCCCCAGTGGAGGGAGGAGGCTGGGCCACCTCACACATGTACTTCAAGTCAGACTGTCAGAGACCCAGACACGGTGAACACACCTGAGCCCTTGCTGCTTCTTGTCTGCCTCCCTGGCCCAACAAAGGGCCCTGCAGTCCACCCCATCCCCACACTGGAACCCCTCCCCTCTCCCATCCAAACCAGTGCCTGCTCCCCTATGGACACTTCCAGTTGGCCCCTCCATCACCTCTGCACCTCGGGCCCTGGGATTGGCAGAGGGCATACAGGAAGGGGGTCTCCTCGTGTGCCTGCCAAACCTTGTGGAAACTGGGACCCCAAATCTTCCAGGGGAGTGGCACTAGGGCCACCTGGGAGGGGAGGGGGATGACTGGAATCTATCTCCCCTGTCCGGGGTGTTCTGGGTCATGGGGGCCCTTCCTAGGTATGTGCCCAAGTCCCTCAAGTCCACGCAGTGCACAGGCACGCCGCACTGTCCCTCAGGGCAGCCTCCCAGAGGGGGCCCAGTCCTCTGCAAACAGCCACCCCAGGCGAGCAGAGCTGGAAGGGCACCTTCTGACATTTTCTTTGCGTTCGGAGGGCACCACTGTGCCAGGGAGGCGGCGCTTAGAGGCCAAACTTATGACATCTGTGGCTCGGGTCTGCTCTGCCCTGTTTACAGGCTCCAAAGTACTTCTGTTTTCAAAACTCCCTGCATAGCAGTGTTGAGCAGATGTTCTTTGCTCCCTCAGAGCCCAGGACACAGGCCTGGGACTCCCTGGGGAGTGGGGACAGTGATGGCCCCAGCCTGGCAGGTCAGCACGGGCTGGCTGGGCACAGCCCATGTGGGCTCCAGAGCATGGGTGCTGGCCCTGTAGGGATTGTGATGAGAGTTGTGTTCTCTTCCTCTGAAGACCCCACCACACAGGCTCCCTGGGGTCTAGGTGTGCAGCACAAGGACTGTACATGCCACCTGCCTTGAGCCTGAGGGTCCTTTAAGAAGCCATGGAATCCAGGGGTCCTGGCCAGTTGTCCACAGCTCCTGCCTCCTCTGCCTCCTGAGCTGTCTCTGTGGTGGCTGAGTTGTCCGGGGCCCCAGTTTGGCTCTTACCTGAGGGAGCACCTTATAGGCTCAGATGGCCATGGGATGTTGAGAGCTGGCGCGTCCCTTGAGGCTAGGCCCGGCTGGACCCAGAACCGCCTGGCTTTCGTGAGCAGGTGGGAGAGAAGAGCAGTGAGTCTGGCACCGACCTGCAGGCAGCGCTCTGTGTGCTGGGATCTGCAGTTAAATTATTTACCCCAAAGATTGCTGAGTCATGGGTTCCCCCCAGACGTGTTACCTGAGCAGCTAACCCAGGGAGTTGCACTGTAATCAGGCTCACAAATCATTGCAGCTGTGTGGGGCTCCAGGTGTAGCTGCCAGGGAGCGAGGGGAGGAGTGGCTGTGCTGGGTGTGGGTGTTGGGGACCCAGTGTGAGACAGAGGCTTGTGTGCTGAGTATAGACCCCTCTCTGGGGCCAAGTGCAGTCACTCCTCCCCACCTGGGAGAGGACTGAAGGAGGGGCTGTCGCCTGGTCCAATCGCTGGACATCCTGGTCCTGCAAGGAGCCATTCTGGTCCACGCCCGAGCAGGGGTGGAGGCTGTAATGGCCAGCTTGGCATAGGACCACCATGCTCCCAGCCTCCGTCCTGTGTCCATGTGTGGAAAGCAGACACGGTTGCTAGTGTGTGTGTGCACGCATGCATGGTTTGCATGCTTGTCTGGGCACATGTGTGTGTGGTGTGTACGGCCCAGGGCAGAGGGCTTCCTGGCATCCAGATACTACCGCCAGCCTAGCATGCCCTTCTCTTGGGGGCAGGGTCCTGGGTTTGCCTGCATTCCAGCCCAACCCGCTAAGATTGGCCATGCACTCGGCTCTGCTCTCTCCCCCACAGTAGGGTGGGACCAGCAGGACCTGCCTTCTTGGGCTGCCATGAAGATAAAAGATCCCTTAAAATGAATTAAACCAGAGGCCCTGAGACTCTTAGGGCAGTAGTCCATACAAGAAAACAGAGTGAGCTGCCATTTTTAAAATTATCATGCAGAGCTTCAGATCCCCCATCTTTAAAGTGGATAGTGGAGATGAGCCCCCGTCACTGGGTGCTTGAGGGTTGTGAGTGACAAGGGCTGGTTCCTTTCCGGGGGGCTGCTGCAGTCCCAAGCATGCTCCCATCTTGGAGGCAGGCCCGAGAGGCTGTGGGGGTCCCTTTGGCGGGGCTAGAAGGCCAAGCTGGCCTGGGCCTGCTGGCCCTGCCAGCCCTGGCACTCTGGGCAGCCTGGCACGGGCCTGAGGACTGTGAGGTTGCCTTGCTGCCTCTGCTGTGCGCACAGGTCCTTAAAGGGGGATTCCAGCCAACAGCCCAGTGTCTTGCAGAGTCAGATGTGGCCCTGGGGCTGCATTCTCCTGCAGAGAGGACACTGGGGTGTCAAGGGGACAGAGCCCCAGAGGGAAGGTGCTCCCATCAGGCCCCGTGACACTCAGTTCCTTTGCAGCCTGCTGGCAAGCCCTGCCTGGTTCCCTGGAGCCATGGGCCTGGCCAGGGAAGACCTGACTACATGTTGGCCCCATTTGGAGGTGAAATGGGAGTGGAATGTGGCTGGGGGATGGGGGTGGCCAGACGGTGGGGAGAAGCTGTGGGCGTGAGAGTGGGTAGGGCCAAGGGCTCCAGGGGTGCAGACCCGCGTGCACCCGTGCTGGGGCTGAGGTGCTGGTGCAGGACAGGGTGGGGGGTGCCACCTGGGGACACATAAAAACCTAAGTGTGGGGAGCAGCCATCCGCCTACCAAGGGAGTGGGGATTTCCAGAGGCTAGGGAGGGCTGGCCTGTGGGGGGATTTTAGGCTGGTGGGGATAGCTCAGGAGGGCATTTTTGAGGCACACAGAACCCCCACTATGGGTGCACTATGGGGGCCCTGCCTCTGCTGGGTGTCCCCTGCCGGTGAGGAAGTACTATTGAGATCATACCTGTAGGACACTTGGGGCCTAACCCTCTCTTCTCGACATATCCCCCTGCCTCAGTTTCTCTGCCTGTGTGCTGAGGCCAGAGGCTGGTGCTGCTGTGTGCCAGCTGTCTAGGAGTCCTGGGACCTTGCTGGTTGGACAGGGTGGGCAGGTGCACTAGCCCCTGTGCCCGTAGCTGCTCCCCAGGTAGGGAGGAGGATGGGGTCAAACCTGCCTGAACCACCCTCCCACTGGACCTCCAGTCAAGTCCGGGCCATAGGGTTATTTCCTTAATTTTGTCTTTGAATCACCCGTTTTAAGTTGGAGTACATTTATTTGCAAACATTGTACCCACCACCCTTGGAAAGAGGCCAGGCCGGCAGGGCTCTGGGGGCCAGACCCCACGTTCTCTGGAATGACCCGCCCGTGTGCGCCGTGCTGGGGTCCGGGAGAGAAGACGGAGACCCCCGCTGACACCCCCTGCACCAGTGCCCACGCCGCGGCGCTGCAGGTTCTCCCAGGGGGATCTGTGTCGGTCTGGCCGCACTCCGCACACCCCCACCCCACCCCCCGCTCGGGCCTGGCGAGAGCGAGCGCCATCGGTCCCCACCCGGTGCTTGTCCCCGCCTGCGCTGTCCCTATGCACGCGCACCCCCGCCCCCACTGCCGAGCACGCGAGGCCCGGCCCCGCCCCGCCCCGTAAACTCACCGGGCGGGCGGTGGCTCGGCCTCGGGCGCAGGCGCTCGGGCTCGAGCTGGGCTGGGGCTCGGGGCAGGAGCCCGGCGAGGGGGGACGGAGAAGGAGCCGGTTGTGCGGCCGCGGTGCCTCGCGGGGTCTGGCAGGGCGGACCGGTCCTCGGGCCTCCGCCCCCGGCTGGGCGATGGCCCCGTCTGCGTTTCCAGGCCAGGCCGCTCCACAGGGGCGTGGGGTGGGCTGCGCTCTTGGTCTCACCGGCTCAGCCCCTCTCTAATCTGGGTCTCTCAAATCCCCCTCCGGCCGGGGACCGGGGACTGAGGCGAAGGGAGACCGAGGCGCGGGCCGTGGTGCAGAAGGGCTACTCCCTGTTCCTTGGCCTAGGGTCGCCCCTGGGGGCGGCATCCTGGTTCCGGGCATCATAGCTGCGAGACTGCCAGGCCTCGAGCTAACACTCGAGTCCACCGTGGTGACAGGCTGGGGACATCTCTGACGTTGGGGCTCCCCCCGCTGGCGGCCCAGCCGGCCCAGCACCGGGACGGTGTTGACCCCAGGCCTGTGTGCGCAGGGCCGGGTTATCACCTTGGGATCTTCGAGAAAGCCTGGAGCCGCGCCAGCACCTTCACTTTCTGCCCGGCTGCCATCGCCTGCCCCTGCCCCACCCCCACCTGTAGGACTTTGGAACCCATCCGCTGGGCATTTAATTTTTACCCAAGTGCTTGTTAAGTTTTATTTCTTAGCTACTGCTGTGACCTTTGGATGGGACGGGCGGTGGCGGGGGTAGGGTGGAGAGGGCTCCACTGTGCACCCGCTGGCGTCCGGCCCTGGCCTAGGGCACGGCGGGAGGAGCAGGGGCTGGCACCTGTGCGGTGGACGGGCGGCGCTCTGCCTTGACCCGTACAAGCAAGAACAGGGACAACCAGAAGGGAGGTTCCGAGTTGTCCAGACCTGGCTGCGCTAGGGAGCAGTGCTGGAGCGGCTGGGCTGTGGCGGGAAATTGCCGTGACTAACATACAGCTGTTTAGGGCTAGATTCCCGGTCCTTGGTGGGACACTGCCCTGCCCCTGCTGCGCCATGGCACACTCGGAACAGACCCAGCTGCCTCAAGGGGGCGCATCGCGCCACCAGCTCCTTGCATCCTAATGGTGTGAGACGCCCTCAGACCCTGGCTGACCCACCTATCCGTGTCCCACGCCAAGCACCTCTCCACACGCCCGGGCCCTCACTTCGGCTGCAGCCTTTCCTCCCGGCCCACCAGGCTAGGTGCTGGCTGCTGTCCCCTGTTCTGCCACCTCACACCCTTGCCTAGGGCCAGAAGCGTCCCCCACAGCCCCAGACCCCTGAGCGCCAGTGTCTCCACCCAGCCCCCCCCCAGATGCCCAACTCCCTGCGGCCCAGTCGAGACCAGCCTGGCTCCAAGCTGATCTCCACCTGTCCAGCTGCGCAGGCTGGAAGCATGGAGTTGTTGTCCGTCTACTTTGTAATCCATCTGCTCCAGCCCTTCCTGCTGCCTCCCTGGCAGCCACCCAGTCTGGGCACCACATCTCCCCGTGGGTGACCACGGTGGCCCCCTAGCCAGTCGTCTGGCTCCAGCGAATCGCCAGAAGGATCCTTCAAAAACATCCCGGCACTGCTCTGCCCAGAACCCTGAAAGGCCTCTACATTTCACCCTGAGTCAGGGTCCTAGCTTCACAGTGGTCACAAGACCCGCATGTAACCTCATTTTCTATGATGTTACACCCTTGTTCTGCCCCAGGCCCAATAGGTGCCTTTCTGCTGCTTGTTTACTAGGAGCTGGTTCCTACCCCAGGGACTTTGCACATGCAGTCTCATCTGTTTTTCCCCATTCTCTTTGCTAGCTCATCCCATTACCTGGCAGGTCTTAGACATCCCCTCCTCAGAGAGGCCCTCCCTCCCTGACCTTCTGCCCCCTTCACTCTCTGTCATGTCCTCTTCACCAAACATCTGATGTGCTCTTAAAGATTCTGATGGTTGGCCGGGCGTGGTGGCTCACGCCTGTATTCCTAGCACTCTGGGAGGCCCAGGCGGGCGGATTGTTCAAGGTCAGGAGTTCGAAACCAGCCTGAGCAAGAGCAAGACCTCGTCTCTACTATAAATAAAAAAGAAATTAATTGGCCAACTACTATACATAGAAAAAATTAGCCGGGCATGGTGGTGCATGCCTGTAGTCCCAGCTACTCAGGAGGCTGAGGCAGGAGGATCACTTGAGCCCAGGAGTTTGAGGTTGCTGTGAGCTAGGCTGACGCCACGGCACTCACACTAGCCTGGGCAACAAAGTGAGACTCTGTCTCAAAAAAAAAAAAAAAAAAAAAGATTCTGATGGTTGCCTGATGACATCTGTCCCCTCTCTGAACATTTGGGAATGTTTGGGAATTGAGCCCTACCTGGAATGAGTGTAGGGTGTGGGAGGCTGTCTTCTCCCTTTCTCCCATCCATGTTGTATCTTGGAGCGTGGGGGCAGGGACGACGGTGCTGTTGGGCCAAGTTTGGGGCCCTGGATTCCAGGAGAGGCAGAGAGTCAGGGTACAATGGCCACTGGGATTTTCCTGGCTCCTGTCCCACAGTGCCCATCCTGTACCTTTCCTGAAGGATCTGCCTGCTCCATCGCACCTCTGAGCCTCATGGCTGTTCTGAGTCTCCACCCCAAGTCTTCCATCTCTTGAAGGAAGAGGTGGGAGGTTTGAAAGTACAGGCACACTAGTTCACACTAGGCTGTGAGTGGCTGATAGGTTTCCATAGTGTTGGTTATTTTTTAAGGGAAAGGGCCTATCAGGAACCCTGGGTCTCAGCCCTGTGTGGTAGCTCTTGCTCTGCTAGAATGTGGCCACAGTCCCGGTGTAGAGAGCTAAGTTACATCTGTGTTCTGAGCTCTCCACACTGACATTGACTGTCCACAGGGCATCAGCTGGGCAGGGCTTGAGCTACAACTTCACCCACCTGGACAAGTACCTGGACCTTCTCAGGGAGAATCAGCTCCTCCCAGGTGAGTGGCTGGCTCTACCCTCTCAGCCCACCTGCACCCCCTCTCCCACCACCCAGCCCCTCTGGGTCCTTGTGGATTGTTTGCTTAGGACCGGCCTTGGTACTAGCAAGCTGTAGCAGGGCATGGGCATGGCATGGGCAGTGGGCAGCAGGGCTGCCATCCTCCTTTGTTGTAGGATTTGAGCTGATGGGCAGCCCCTCGGGACTCTTCACTGACTTTGAGGACAAGCAGCAGGTGTTTGCGTGGAAGGACCTGGTCTCTCTCCTAGCCAGGAGATACATTGGTGGGCAGGGTGCAGGCCCTGGGGACAGGGTGGATACTCCTGGGCAGGCTGTCCTTCCCCCATCACCCAGGCCATCCCTTGGGTCTTCTGTGTTTGGCCCCTTTGAGCCAGGGCTTCCTGATGGCAGGGAGGGTAGACAGGGTGGGGGAGGCTCGGCTGCACTCAGACCCTCCATCAGGCCCAAATCTCCAACGTGGGACTCCCTGGGTTACGGATGGGCTGGATGTTCCAACACAAAGGGGTGGAGCGCGTGTGACAGCAGGGACGCTCTGCAGGGAGGTATGGACTTGTGCATGTTTCCAAGTGGAATTTCGAGACATGGAATGAGCCGGACCACCACGACTTTGACAACGTCTCCATGACCACGCAAGGTGGGCGGTGCTTCCTGGTCCTGCGAGCTGAAAGGGGCATGGGAGCACGGTGGGGGTGGGGTGGGGAGGACACTGCACCTGCTGGTCCCTGAGGGCAGGCATGGACATGCTGTCCCTTCCACCCAGGCTTCCTGAATTACTATGATGCCTGCTCCGAGGGGCTGCGTGCTGCCAGTGCCGCTCTGCGGCTGGGCGGTCCTGGTGACTCCTTCCACGCCCCGCCGCGTTCTCCGCTGAGCTGGGGCCTCCTGGAGCACTGCCACAGCGGCACCAACTTCTTCACGGGGGAGCTGGGCGTGCGGCTGGACTACATCTCCCTCCACAAGAAGGTGCAGCCCGCCCCTCCGCCAGCCCCGGACCCTCGTCTGCCCCTCTCTGGTGGTGGCAGTGGTGTAGTTGACCATGGTGGCACCTGCAGGGTGCGGGCAGCTCCATCTACATCCTGGAGCAGGAGAAGGCGGTAGGGCAGCAGATACGGCAGCTCTTCCCCAAGTTCGCTGACACCCCCATTTACAACGACGAGGCGGACCCACTGGTGGGCTGGTCTCAGCCGCAGCCGTGGAGGGCCGACGTGACCTATGCAGCCATGGTTGTGAAGGTGGGCTCGCCCTCTGCCCTTGTACATCTTCCCCCCAGAGCCACCTTTTTCTCAGGGTGGAAGTGGGGGCCACTGCAGCCATTGTTCCAGCCGCCCCGTTTGCCCCCAGGTCATCGCCCAGCACCAGAACATGCTAGTGGCTAACACCAGCTCCTCCGTCCACTATGCGCTCCTGAGCAACGACAACGCCTTCTTGAGCTACCACCCACACCCCTTCTCGCAGCGCACGCTCACCGCACGCTTCCAGGTCAACAACACCCGCCCGCCCCACGTGCAGCTGCTGCGCAAGCCGGTGCTCACGGCCATGGGGCTGCTGGCTCTGCTGGGTGAGCAGTGCCAGGACAGCCTGCAGACAGCCAAGGCGGCCTGGCACGCCCTGGGTGTGCTAGGACCAGGGGAGGGCCTGGGTGTGCTGATCAGGGCCTTGGTCAGGCAGGGATGTCTTCTGGGCTGAGGAGTAGGCCTGAGGCAGGGGGGCGTGGACATGGGGGGCAGAGCACACTTCCTTGGGGTTTGCCCTCCCATCCCACATGCTTCTCCGGATCTGTGGGCTGTAGAGGTTGTGGTTTGGGGTTTGCCCTCCCATCCCACATGCTTCTCCGGATCTGTGGGCTGCAGAGGTTGTGGTGTGACCGGGACCCCCAGGCAGGGACCTCTTTACCAAGAGGAGGGGACAGATGTGGAAAGCCAGGCCCTGGGAGGGTGGAGGGGCAGCTTCCCCACATGGTGACAGCCTCCCCCTGTAGATGGGGAGCAGCTCTGGGCTGAGGTGTCACAGGCTGGCGTGGTCCTGGACAGCAACCACACAGTGGGCGTCCTGGCCAGTGCCCACAGCCCGGAGGGCTCTGCTGATGCCTGGCGTGCCACGGTGCTGGTCTACGCAAGTGACGACACCCTCGCCCACGCCAACCGCAGCGTTGCAGTGACCCTAAAGCTGCATGGCGTGCCCCCTGGCCCAGGTGAGTTGAGGTCCCAGGGAGGTCTCTCGCTGCGGGCACTCTGGAGGGGCGGGGCCTGGAGGGGGCGGCCAGTGAGGCGAGGCCCCAGCGTGTGCTCCGCAGGGCTGGTCTACCTCACACGCTACATGGACAACCGGCTCTGCAGCCCCCAAGGCGAGTGGCAGCGCGCTGGCCAGCCAGACTTCCCCTCCGCGGAGCAGTTCCGGCTCATGCGTGCAGCTGAGGTTTGCAGGGCGCATTAGGGTTAGGGTGCAGAGGGCCGTCAGCCCACCCTGAAATACCTGAGGACCCACCTTTATCCCCAGGACCCTGTGGCCACAGCACCACGCCCTTTCCCCGCCAGTCGCCACCTGACCCTGCGCCCAGAGCTCCCGCTGCCCTCGCTCCTGCTGGTGCATGTGTGTGCACGCCCAGAGAAGCCACCTGGCCAGGCAAGTGGCAGCCCCCACAGCTGTCCGGACTCACGCCCACCCCACCCTGTCACCCTGACACAGCACCTCCCTTCCCCCAGGTCACCCGGCTCCGTGCACTGCCCCTGACTGAGGGGCAACTGGCTCTGGTCTGGTCGGATGAGTACGTGGGCTCCAAGTACGTGAGTAGGGGCCACTTCCCATTTTGCCCCAGCACTTTCAGGGTGCAGTGGCCCTGTGGACACTCCATGGTGGTGGGCCAGCTCTCTACCTCTCTGCCTTCCACCCCCCGCATTGTGTGACATCACACCTAGTCTGGTGGGATGTAGGGGCACCTGCAGGGGACATCAAAGGCAACAGTTGGGCTCCAGCCTTCTCCCTTCTCCCCTGAAATTGTAGGAAGAGTGCCAAGGACACAGGGAGGGGGCTGGAGGGAATAGTGCTGAGGGTCTTCCCTGCCTCCCAGCCTTGGTCGTGACTCTGACCTCCCCAGGTGCCTGTGGACATATGAGATCCAATTCTCCCAGGATGGTAAGGTGTATACCCCGGTCAGCAGGAAGCCATCAACGTTTAACCTCTTTGTGTTTAGCCCAGGTATGCCCACCCCCAATTTCCCTGGCCTCAGCCCCCCCCTTCCTGCGCCTCCACACAGTTCCAGGTGTGCTGGGGGTCAGGGCCTTTCAAGGACTTGAGTCAGGGGCATTGGGAATCGAGGTAGGTTCAGGTGGGCACACGCTCAGTAACACATGTGTATGTTTGTGTCTGCAGACACAGCTGTTGTCTCGGGTTCCTACCGAGTTCGAGCACTGGACTACTGGGCCCGGCCAGGCCCCTTCTCGGACCCTGTGTCATATCTGGAGGTCCCTGCCCCAGGAGGGTCACCAGCCCCTGGTGACCCGTGAGCCTGTGCTGACTAGTGACCTGGGGCAGCGGGCCAGTCAGTCAGCCTTCAGCACCATCTGTTCCATCTTGCTCCGTCATTGCTTTTAAAGTGCCTTTCCACACGCCAGTCTTGGGTGAGGCTTTGTGGGCCGCCACTGGGCAGGGGTGGGGCTGGCCCCTGAGGGTGAAGCCTGGGTGGGGTGAGGACCCAGCTGGAGCAAAGCCTCTTCCCACCGCCTCCCATCCAGAGCCTGCCTCTAGCCTGGATGGGCTGAGGGACACTGCTCTGGCTACGTGGAGAGTCCTGCCCACTCCAGGCAGGGAGCTCAGCTTCACCATGCCCAGCCAGGGCTCTGTGGCATCGCCCTAGTGAGGGGCACATTCCTGTCCCTTGCTTTCTTGCTGCTCTGCAGAGTGAGGAGCTGGGGCTGCATGGGCATCCCTGCCTGGCCCAGACTGCCAGCAGCGAAAAGGCCAGCAGTGTCTACCATGCCTGTGTCCAACCCCCTTGGGTCATAGTGGCTCTACATCTGAGCCCAGGAGGAAACAGATGGCATGCCCAGATGAGGACAATTTGGTGACTGTAGAGATGGAGGCAAGGTGCAGAACTGCTCCCAGGGAGCAGGCAGACAGAGAAAGGTGTGGAGAAAGGGTACCTGGCAAGGGGCAGAGACCTGCCCAGGGGCACAGCCAGCCTGTGGGACCCTTCGGGCTGGAGCCTGGGAGTGGAGGCCCTTACCTCATCCCGCCAGCTTCTCTGCACCTGCCTGCCCTTTGTCTAGGTGTGAGGCTCATGTCCCTTGCACGCCACCAGCCAACATGGACCACCAAGTTGTGGTCAAGAGATGTCACTTTGACAGTAGTTCCACCTGAAGCCCAAAGCCATGCCCCTTTCCCCATGTGAGCCCAGACTTGGTGTCTCTGAGTACTGCTGTTGCCGTATGGGGGCAGTGGGGCTGGGCTGGGGTCCCCTGTGTGGGGCACAGTGCTCCCGCTGCCTTCTGGAGCCCCAAGTTAGTCTGGCTTGGGCTCCTGTGACAAATACCACAGACCTGCTTGCTCAGACGTTGGAAATGTATTATCTCACAGCTCTGGAGGCTGGAAGTTTGAGGTCAGGCTGGTTCCTCCCGAGGCTTCTCCTGGGCTTGCACATGGCCACACTCATGGTATGCTCAGTTCTGTGTCCTTACCTGGCCTTTCTCTGCACCTGTGTCCTGACCTCTTCTTGTAAGGACACAGACTGGATAGGGGCCCACCCTCTCATGACCTTGTTCTAACCTGATCATGTTTGTAAGGACCCTGTGCTGACCAGCGACCACATAAGGACACATTCTGAGATGCTGGGATTAGAACTTCAATATATGAATTTTGTGGGGGACACAGTTAGATGCATAACAAGCACTGGCCCTCTTTGGTGGCTGGGATCCATCAACCATAGAAAAATAGCTTCATTCCCCCCAACAGGTGGGTAGCCTGAACACCCTGTGGTCTGGGACCATCTCAGTCTCTAGCTTAATGGGAGTGGGACTGGATTTGCCAGTAAACACCGTCCCTTCTCAGACACCAGGACCTTCATACCTTCTGAGCCAGGTTGTAGGTGTGGGACAGAGACCCCACAAGGGAACCTCCCCTCATTCCTGGGCCTGGGTGCTCTAGCTTTTGGCAAAAGCAGCAGCAAAACACATTCAAAGTTTCCCCTCAGCTGTGGATTTGCAGCATGAGCCTGCTGTTAGCAGGGTGAGATGGGCCCCTCCTTTGGAGGTGATGTGGTGGTCAGTGGGCAATTCTGTGAGTCCCCACGCAGTGGTGCCGGCACTGGTCTCAGCTGCAACAGCAAAGCCGGATCTGTGCTGTGTCTCTCCTCGCGAGGCTGGGTCACCATCTCCACTAGGGCAGTAGCCCTTGAGATTGTCAGGCAGCCACTGGGTTGCTGACTCGTCCCCACCCTCTGGTCTCACTGGTGGGTTAGCTTTGGCCTTTGCCATTGGTGGGTCAGGCTTGAACCTGTGCTGTGAGCCAGGAAGGTCCATCTTGGTCAATTGCACACAGCCTCTGTCCCTGCTGCTGAGGCTACTGTCCATCTGGGCCCATGGAGCATTCATGGGGTGGCCTAAAGGATCTGGGATTCAACATCGCTGGCCACGAGCATCTCCAGGGTGGTGGGTGCCCTCTGGATAAATGCAGGTGTTTCTGCTGGACTCACACCCTCCTTTTGTGCCCATCCCAGGGGCCACATTTCTGTCTGTTCCCCATGTCTCCTTGCCCACAAGCTTCCTGTCTTTAGCCAGCTGGCTAACGTGAGTACTGCCCATACAGAGCCAAGCATGGGCTAAATGTGCCACCTGGCCCTGCACACCAGGAGCAGACCCCTCCACGCCCCGCTCCTAGGGCTAGCCCCCAGCAGTGGTGACGCAGCAGCTGTCCACTTCTGGGTGGCACAGTGTGCAGTACATCCACAACCACTTCTGCCTTCAGCAGCAGGCAGGAAACCCGTTGTGGAGCCTTGGTGCAGGCTGAGAGGGGCGTGGCTGTTCAGAAGGGGCAGGAAGTGGGAGCTTGAGCTTCTGTTCGTGGGCTTTTACTTCCAGATGTGCTTGGCCTGGTCTCGCTACTTATGTGATGGTGCGGGCGCTCAGCTCTCCCTGGGCTGACGGGTGAATGGTGTTAGACCTTCACCAGGGCTGAGGAGCGGAGAGCCCAGAGTGACTTTCTAAGTGGAGAGTGGATTGTGACAGGGGAGGAAGTGGCCTTTGCCTAGGAGGCTAGGGGTCTGGGCTTGGTGGCCATTCTCTTGGTGCTTTCCAGAGGGCATGGTGTCCCCGCCAGGTACTCAGGCAAGGCTGGGTCTGCTGGACCATCCATGCCAGCAGCAAGGTTGTTTCTGTTACACCTGGACCCACTGCAGAGCATGTGTTTGCCAGCATTGCCTGTTGCCCAGGACATGGGGCAGAGTGGGATGTTCAGGTGTGGTACATGCTGCACCCCAGATCCAGAGTCCCACCAAGCACTGTGCCTCTTAGAAGTGGGTGGTGTGAGGCACAACACCACATCTGACTTTAAGCAGCATATCTCAACATTTCTCAGATCACTGGGTCCCTAAAACCTTCACTGGAGGCTTCTGAACTTTCACAGGGTTTCTCTCCCACCCTCTGGAAAGCATGTCTTCCTGAGTCATCTGGGGCACTTGCTATCTTGTCCTTACCACGCCCAGTTAGCATAATGTCATCGAGGAAGTGAAGATCCCCGACCATAATTACACAGAAGCGTGGGTTCATCAAGGCAAACTGAAGGTGTGCTGATGTCTCTGTCACGGGAAGACATACTGCGATTGCTTTTCTTTCTCAATGGGGAGAGGAGTGAGCATTTGCCAGTGCAGCATCAGTGCACCAAGCGCCAGGGGCTGGTTGGCTTATCCAACTGCAGCGGACCTCGGCTGCAGTTAATGCAGCCAGTGGTGAGGTGGTGAGAACCTACCAATGCTCAACACCCAGCTAGCAAGAGATAGAGAGTGTGGAAAGAAGCCCTCCCTCTGCAGGTCAGGGCACTGCGCAGGTTCCTGCTAGACCTACTGGGGACCTGCACAATAGCTACAGGAAGCATCTGCAGACACCCCCCCCCCTCATGCAGACTCAGTGGATACCCCACCTTTGCTACATTTCCCAAAGCACCTTCTGACCAGTGGGTCATGGTGGCCGTCAGGTGGCAGTGTCAGCAGCAGGTCAGAGCTGTTGTCCAGTAAACCCTGGGGGTCTCACTACCTCCCTCGTCCCAGGGCGGAGTCCCTGGAAATGGCCCCCAGTCTCCCGTGTGAGTGGGAGTGTGCAGCAGCGGCTGTGTGGCCAGGTCCTTTTCAGAGGTACCCGGTCTCCCCTTCTAACAAGGTCTCTGGGTCCATGAATTGGCTGCAGTCTGGGAACTGGACAAGAGGCCGCGAAGCCTTGTTGTGGTGGTTTGTGTTCCATACATGCCTGCCAGACCTACAGACTTTCTGCCAGCAAGTATTTCAAGCAGTGCTTTGGAGTCTGCCCGGGCAGTCATTTTGTGGTTGCCACGGACCCCAGAGGGCCTGTGGCTCCAGAAATGCTCCTGTGCTTAGGAGTCACCCGTAACCTTGTCAGAGTGCAGGTCCTGACTCTCTGCCTGTCTGAGGTGGGCCCGGGAGTCCGTATTTCAGCAAGTTCCTGGTGCAGGCCCTGGGAACACCCGAAGGGCAGGCCCTGCAGGGGGAGGTCCTGGCCTTCTGGCTGCAGTGTGGGCAGGCTGGGTTGAGGCCAGGCTGGTCCAGGGCAGTTAACTCAGTCTCCAGGTGCTCTGGCAGGCATACCAGACCTCAGTCCTGGTCAGTGAGGTGGCTGGCCTGCCAAACCCACGTTTTGTGTTTTGCTTAATGAATTTAGTTCCACCCTGTGAGGCTCCCCAGGCTCCTGCCAGTAGGGATCAGCCTGGAACTCTATGGATTGACTTCTTCCTGGAGCCCACCTTGGTCTGATGTGGGGCAGAGGACTGGCAGGTGGGGGTGAGTCTTGAGCAGAGTTGGCACCAGTTTCCAGGCAGCTGCCCCGGTGCAGACACAGACAGGCGTTTTACATGTGGTGGGGGCGCCTGGCACAGGGACTGGGTGCTCTCAAGCACCTGCCTGTCTGCCCCTGCACCACTCCTATGGCTCCAGGTGTCCCTCCTTTCCTTGCAAGTTGCTGTTCCTCAGCAAATAAGGGCCCCCGTAGGGTCAAGCCTTCAGCTGGGCTCCAGCACCCAGCCCTCTGCACCCCGCAGAGCCCCAAAGCCCCACCCACCCTTAGCCACTCACACAGCCCTCAGTTTCACCAAAGAGACTTCTTGTCTTTACATAATCATTCCTGTTGCCATGGTAACCAGCCCAGGTCTGCCAGCCCCTGTCCTCTGCATGTCCTCCCACACTGCCAGGGTTATCCAGTGAGGCCATTCCCACCCACAAGGCGAGCCCAAGACTCCTTGGATCTGCCACCTGGCCCAGAACCTGGTCTGGAGGGGCTGTGTCCTGAGCCACACCTGTCACTGGTGGGGGAGGGGGTGGGGAAGGAGGGCTGAGCTGAGCCTGCGCCTCACTGTAGCCTGTGGATGGAGGCTGGCCCTGGGCTGGACAGGCTCCTTGGTGGTGCTGTAAGTGCACCCTCCCTGGGGCTGGGAGAGGCCTGGGTGTAGCCACTGGGGTCTGCATGTCCCCTTCCCTTGGCCTTTTGCCTAGACCTTGCCATGCAGGACCTTACAGGATATAGGACAAGACCTGCCCTGCCCACCTGGACTGTAGCACCCCAATGCCAGCTCAGGAATCCCCCCTGCAGCCCAACTGGCACAGAAGAGGGGCCCTCTCCCCACTGAGGCTGAGGCTGGGCCGAGAACATCTCCACACAGCAGTCCCAAGTGGCCAAAGCCCGGTTCCCTTGCCATCACACCCAGCGGAGCCCCTTCTTCGGAGTCTAGGTCTGGCTTGTAGGACAGTGGCTCCTCTAGGAGCCTGAGGGAGGGGGCAGAGGAAGGCCAGCAGGCCTGGGAGCCCACTGAGACCACTGCACTCCTGAGAGCAGCAGAAAGCCCCAGTAGGGAGACTGGGCCATGGCAATGGTGGGGACAGCCTGAGCAGGCCAAGCCTCTCCATCTGGAGGTGTGGGAGGCCAGGACAGCTCAGGGTCCCAACCACAGCAGGAGTGCAGGTGAGTCCCTCGGCCTGCTGTCCTGCCCAGCCCGGAGCTCTGGTCTCCTTCTGAGGATACTAGTCCCATCATGGGCCCTTCATGACCTCATCTAACCCTAATCACCTCCCAAAGGCTCCATCTCCACATAACATTGGGGTTAGGGCTTAACATACACATTTTCAGGGAACACAAACATTTGTCATAACAAGGACTCTGGGTCAAGGCTAAGAAATGCCTGTGTCCTCTGACCGGGGCTTAGCACGGAGCCAGCACCCCTGCAGTTCTGACCACATCACTGGCTGCCCCTGAAATGTCCCTTGGAGATGAAGTCAGCCACTGTTCTTCCAAACAGTGGTTCCAGAGCAGGCAGGAAAACAAGGCCAGCCGGGCTCTGATGACAGAGAGCTCCAGTGAGGAGGCCATGAGACAGAAGGTGGAACCAGAGAGGCCATTTGTGCATTAAAAAATCTAAAACAATATACGCCCACTGTGTCAGGTGGTCACGACACCGGCAGAGTCCATCTCAGCAAGCTCCTGCCCCTCCACAGCTGCTCTCCTCTGTGTCCTTCTAGCAAGTCAGTCTCGTTTGCATTAAATAACACCTTTATTGAGGTATGCTTGACACAGAACTGCACCATTTGAAGTGTAACACATGACAGATTCTGACGCTGTGTATATCCATGACATCCCAGTCAGCATCTAGATTGTGCACGTGACCCCCTGGAAGCTACCGCATGCCCCTTTTGAACCCCACTTCACTGCCTCCTTTGATCCAGCCCCGGCCACCACTGGCTGCCTTCGGTCACTAGACAGTGAATCTTCCTACAAGTTTACACGATGGAACCATGCGGGGTGGCCACCTGCTTTGGCTACTTCCTTGGCTCGGCCTAATTATTCTGAGAGTCAGCAGTGTTGCTGTGTGTGTTGGTGGTTCATCCCTTTTTATTGGCAAGTAGTATTCCATTGTAGGGATGTAGAGGAACTGGTTTGCCCCTTCACTTGTTGATGGACGTTTTCCAGTTTGGGTTTGCTTTGAACATTTGTGCACAAACCCTGTGTAGACGCACGCCTTCCTTTCGTTGGGTGAAGACCTAGGAGTGCAATGACTGGCTCATGTGTCAGATGCAGGCTTAGCTCTGTAAGACTTGCCAAACTTCTCCAAAATGTTTGTGTCATTTTATGTGCTCTGCCAGCAGCGTATCAAAGTTCACTGCACATCCTTTACGATTTTGTATCTTGCTACCTTGCTAAGTGTGCTTGTTAACTTGTTAGTTCTAGTGGCCTTTTTTTTTTTTTTGGTAGATTCTACAGAATTTTCTGCAAAGATGATCTTGTCATTTACAAATAAAGACCATTTTATTCCTTTCTTTCCAATTTGGATCCCTTTTATTTCTTTTCCTTGACATACTGTACCGGCTAGAATCTCTAATACAATGTTGAATAGAAGTGGAAAGAGTTGATTTTGTCTAGTTCCTGATTTAGGGGAAAGCATCAGTCTTTCAAAGTTAAGTGTGATGTTAACTGTAGTTTTTTTTCCCCATGACTTTTATCAGGTTGAGAAAATTCTTTTCTATTCCTAGTTTGCTGATTTTTAAAATCCGGAACAGATGTTGAATTTTGTCATATGCTTTTTGCATCTATTGAGGTCATCATATTGTGTTTTTCCTTTTTGTTTTTTCTTTATTTATTTTTTTTGAGACAGTCTCACTTTGTTGCCCAGGCTAGAGTGAGTGTCGTGGCGTCAGCCTAGCTCACAGTAACCTCAAACTCCTGGGCTCAAGTGATCCTACTGCCTCAGCCTCCCGAGTAGCTGGGACTACAGGCATGCGTGGGCCACCATGCCCGCTTAATTTTTTCTATATATATATTAGTTGGCCAATTAATTTCTTTCTATTTTTTTATAGTAGAGATGGGGTCTCGCTCAGGCAGGTTTTGAACTCCTGAGCTCAAACAATCCACCTGCCTCAGCCTCCTAGAGTGCTAGGATTACAGGCGTGAGCCACCACGCCTGGCCAACCTTTCTCATTTCTGATGTTGATAATTTGTGTCTTTTCTCTTTTTTGTCTGGTCCATTTGCAAGAGATGTCAATTTTATTGATTTCAAAGAACCGGCTTTTGGTTTCATTAGTTTTTTTGATAGTCTTTCTGTTTTCTATTTCATTGATTTCTGCTGTGAGCTTTAATATTTCCCTTCTGCTGATTACTTTGCATTTCATTTGTTCTCATTTTTCTAATTTCTTTTTTTTTTCTGAGACAGAGTCCTGCTCTGTCACTTGGGCTAGAGTGGCATTAGCCTAACTTACAGCAACCTCCAACTCCTGGGCTCAAGTGATCCTCCTGCCTCAGCCTCCTTAGTAGCTGGGACTACAGGCATATGCCACCACCTCTGCTAACTTTTCTATTTTTATGAGAGACAGAGTCTCACTCTTGCTCAGGCTGGTCTCAAACTCCTAAGCTCAAGCGATCCTCCTGCCTCAGTCTCCCAGAGTGCTAGGATTATAGGAGTAAGCCAGCATACCTGGTCTCTAATTTCTTTAGATGGAAGTAGAGGTCACTGATTTTAAGCCTGTCTTCTTTTCCAAAATACATATTTAGTGCTGTAAGTTTTCTCTAAGTACTATTTTAACTACATTCTACAGTTTTTAATATGTTGTTTTTTCATTTCCATTCAGTTCAAAAGAGTTTTAATTTTCTTTTTGGTTTCTTCTTCACTACATGGGAAATGAAAGACTAGATTATTTAGTTTCCAAATATTAGGGGATTTTCCAAATATCTTTTTGTTGTTGATTTCTAATATTATTCCATGTGGTCAGAGAATGTGCTTTGAACAACTTGAATCCTTTTAAATATGTTTCAACTTTTGGCAAAGAAAATGGTGGACTATTCTATAAATATAAATTAGGCCAAGTTAGTTGTAGTATTGTTCAAGTCTTCTATATTTCTAATGTTTTTCTGTCCATTTATTCAATCAAATATTGGGAAATGAGGGTTGAAATCTCAGAGTATAATTATGGACTTGACCATCTTTCCTTGCATTTCTATCAGTTTTTGCTTCGTGGATTTTTATTATCTGTTGTTGTATGAATACATGTTTGGGGTTGTTATATCCTTTTGATAATTTTAACAATTTATAATTATGAAATGATCCTATTTATCTCTGATAATATTTTTTGCTCTGAAGTATACTTTAGCTGATATTAATATAGACATTCCAGATTTTTTTTTTTCAATTTCTTTTTTGGATATAGGGTCTCACTATGTTGACCAGACTGGTCTTTTTTTTTTTTTTTAAGACAGAGTCTCTCTTTGTTACCCTGGCTAGAGTACAGTGGCATGATCATAGTTCACTGCAACCTCAAACTCCTGGGCTCAAACAATCCTCCTGCCTCAGCCTCCCAAGTAGTTGGGACTACAGGCTTGTGCTACGGCACCTGAAAAGATTTCTTTTCATTAATGTTAGTGTGGTATATCTTTTCCCACCCTTTTACTTTTAACCTATTTGTGTCTTTATATTTGATGCGTGTTTCTTTTAAGAAACAGTCTTCGGTTTTTTTTTTAACCTAATCTGAAAATCTCTGCCTGTTAGTAGGGATGCTTAGAATATTTACATTTAATGTGATTATGAATATGGTTGGGTTTAAATCTACCATCTTGGCTAGGTGCAGTGGCCACACATCAGCACATCCAGCTAATTTTAAAAATTATTTTGTAGAGATAGGGGTCTCACTATGTTGCCCAGGCTGATCTTGAGCTCCTGCCCTCAAGCAATCTTCCTTTCTTGGCTTCCAAAGTGTGGGTTTACAGGTGTGAGCCACTGCACTCAGCCAACAGTTGATTATTTTTGAAACAGTTTAAATATTAAGAACTTTTTTTCTTAAGAGGCAGGGTCTCACTCTGCCACCCAGGCTGGGGTGCAGTGGCATGATCATAGCTCACTGCAGCCTCTAACTCCCGGGCTCAGGGGATGCCCTTGCCTCAGCCTCCCAAACTGCTGGGATTACAGGCATGAGCCACCACATCCAGCCAGAAAAACATTCTTTATTTATGTAGTTACCATTTCTGGTGCTCTTCATTTCTTAATGTAGATTCAGGTTTCCATCTGGTATTATCTTTCTTTTGCTTGAAGAACATCCTTTAACATTTCCTGTAAAGATCAACTCACTGACAATAAAAAAAAGGATAATAACAAATAACAAAAAACTAAGAAAACAAAAACAAAATAAAAAAATTAAAAAGAAAAACATTTCCTGTAGTGTCAATCTGCTAGTGATTAAATCTTCCAGTTCCTTATACCTTAAAAAGTCTTTATTTCACCTTTGTTTTTTTGTTTTGTTTTGTTTTGAGACAGAGTCTCGCTTTGTTGCCGGGGCTAGAGTGAGTGCCGTGGCGTCAGCCTAGCTCACAGCAACCTCAAACTCCTGGGCTGAAGCAATCCTCCTGCCTTAGCCTCCTGAATAGCTGGGACTACAGGCGTGCGCCACCATGCCCGGCTAATTTATATATATATATATATTAGTTGGCCAATTAATTTCTTTCTATTTTATAGTAGAGACGGGGTCTTGCTCGTGCTCAGGCTGGTTTCGAACTCTGACCTCGAGCAATCCGCCCGCCTCGGCCTCCCAGAGTGCTAGGATTACAGGCGTGAGCCACTGTGCCTGGCCCTCACCTTTGTTATTAAAAGACATTTCTACTGGCAAATAATACCCTGTTAACAGGTTTTCTTTTTTTGGTATTTTAAAGATGTTGCTCCACTGTCTTCTTGCTTGCATTGTTTCAACAAGACATCAGGAAAACACTTTTTTCTTTGTTCCTCTATCCCAATTGTGTCTTTTTTCTCGGGTTACTTTGAAGGTATTCTCTTTATAACTGATTTTCAGCATTTGATAATATGACTCGATGTCATTTTCTTCATGTTTCTTGTGCTTTTTGCTTCATATTTGTTAAGCTTTGCGGAACCATGGGTTTATATTTTCCATCACATTTGAAAAAATTCTGGCCATTTTTTTCTTAAAATAGTTTTTCTTTCCCCACCTCTATCTCCTTGCCTTTGGAGACTCCAATTATACTTGTGTTTTACCACTTAAAATTGTAATTCACTGATGCTTTTTCCACTTTTCCCCATTTTCTCTGTTTCATTTAGATAGTTTCTATTGCTAGGTTTTCTTTTATTTATTTATTTATTTTTTTGAGACAGAGTTTCATTCTGTTACCCAGACTAGAGTGCTGTGGCATCATCCTAGCTCACAGCAACCTCAAACTCCTGGGCTCAAGCAATCCTTCTGCCTCAGCCTCCCAAGTAGCTGGGACTACAGGAATGTGCTATCATGTCTGGCTAAATTTTTCTACATATTTTTAGTTGTCCAATTAATTTCTTTGTATTTATTTTTTTTTAGTAGAGACAGGGTCTCACTCTTGCTCAGGCTGGTTTTGAGCCCCTCACCTTGAGTGATCCACCTGCCTCGGCCTCCCAGAGTGATAGGATTACAGGTGTGAGCCACTGCGCCTGGCCATATTGCTAGGTTTTCAAGTTCACTAGTTCTTTCTTTTGCAATTTCCATTAATCCCATCCAAAGTATTCTTTCTCTCAAATATTGTAATTTTCATATCTAGATATTCAATTTGAGGCTTAAGGGTTTTTTTTTTCATGTCTCTACTTAACATATTCAGTCTTTCCTCTAGCATCTTAAACATATGAAATATAGCCATAGTAAGTATGTGTGAGGTTCTTATCTACTAATTCTATCATCTTTGTCATTTCTGGGTCAGTTTTGATTGATTTTTCCTTCTCAATATGGGTTATAATTTCCTGCTTCTTTTCATGCCTGACAGTTGTTTATTGGGTATCCAACATTGCATATTCTACCTTTCTGGGTGCTGGATACCTATAAATATTTTTGTATACTTATAAATATTCTTGCATTTGTTTCTGGGATGTGATTAAGTTACTTAGAAACTATGTCCTTTGGGTCTTATTTTAGAGCTGTGTTAGGTGGGACCAGAACCATATTTAGTCTCATGTTGATTTTTCCCTATTACTGAGGCAAGACCGTTCTTCCCTCTAATCAATGCTCCTTGAATCAAGGTTCCCCCTCTGGCTGTTGGGCACAGGCACTATTCCCAGCTGCCTGTAGGCTCTAATCCTTCTGGGTGGCTCTTTCTCCAGCCTTAGGGCTTTCCTTCGCACCCTTGCATTGATCTGTACTTAGCTGAGACCTCAAGGATGACCCTACTCTGGATATCTGGGGTCCTCTCCCTATGCAGCCCTCTCCTTTCCAGCCCTCTGGGGCACCTGCAAACTCCCGCCACCTGCCCTTCCACCTCCATCTCTGCAATGGAGGGAGACTGCTGGGCTCTGCCTGGGCTCTACCTACTGCACTGTGCCTGGGGCAGTGGGCATGGACAATCCACAGTTCCCCTCTTTGTTTCCAGTCTCTCAAGGATCACTGTCCTTTGATGCATGATGTCCAGTGTCCTGAGAGCTGTTTTCACATATATTTGCCTGTGGTCTTTTCTTGTTTAAGGTGAGAGTGTGCAAATCTGGTCCCTGCTACTTCATCTCAGTTCTCTGCCAAGCTCTTTCTACCATCTGATACTCTTCCTTTCAGTCTCTACACCTGCTACTGAGATGCCACCTTTGCAGAAGGTTGGGCCATCCACCTTATTCAGCCCAAACCTCTAGCTCCAGTACAGATCCTGACATGGAGGGAGGGCTCAGCACATCATTGCTAAATGATCTTGTGAAGAGTAAATTACTACTTATTGGGGCTTACCTGTGCTGGGCAATCCTGCAGGTGTTGTGGATGAGGTGCTGAGACACAGAGGTTTCAGTTTTAAAGGGCAGAACTTGCACCCAGGCCGTCTGGTTGCACACTCTGGTCAACTGTCGCGGAGTGGTAGTGGGAGTCCAAGACGGGGCGCCTGTCCTTGGCTCCTGGGGTGAGAGAGGGGCTGGTGGGGGGCTTCTGGAGGAGGGGGCCTGGGCAGGGCACCTAGGAAGGGGCGGGGCAGCCCGGGCCAGGGTCTTGGGTGTCCGCCACACTCTGCGCTTCCGCCAGGGGGCAGCGTGTCCCCACGCGAGGGGGTGGCGCGTGGCTGGCAGAGGGGGGGCTGCTGGGTGGGGCGTGCGGGGCTGCACGGTGGGAGCGCGAGCTGGGGGGTGGCGCATGGCCAGGCCTGAGTCGCGGGCTGCGTGCAAGGCCGGCAGGGGCTGTGGACCGCCCCCCCCTCCCCGCTTACCTACAGTCTCAACTTCCCGTCCCATCCCCTCCACCGCAGCTGTGCCCGCCTGGGCCACCTCACCTGCTGAGATCCCTCCCCACTGCCTACCTTCTCCCCTCACTTCACACACCTGCCCTGGGCAGCCTGCACACCTGTCGGAGCTCTTCACGCTTCAGCGGTGTCTCCTAGAAAACCTGTCCATGACGTTTAGGGCTGCCTGCCCACTAACCTGGGACCTCACACCCACCTGTTCGTTTTGCTCTGAAGCACTTGTCTGTGACCCCTGGCCCCAGCTGGACAGTCCTCAGGTGGCCGAGGCCTTCTCTTCTGGCTGCTGCTGTGTCAGGCCTCAGCCGTGGCCACCTGGTGTTTTGCAGCCCAGAGAGGGCCACTCAGCCCATGCCCTGACCTTGGCCAGGGTGCAGAGTGGGCACGTTGAGCCAAGGAGGGTAGGATGGGGGATGGGCCCTGCTCACCTCCCTCCATCTAGAGATGCCCACACTGGCCCAGAGACAGATGGGGTTGAGGACGCTGGGCTGGGAAGCTGGATTCTCACTGGCCTCACCAGCTTGGGATGGGTGACTAGTTGGGCCTTGGTGAGCCCCAAAGCCTGAAAACTGGCATCCCCTCACCAGCTCTTCTCTACCCGGAGACACTGGCTTGCAAGGCCTCTCCAATATCAATCTTCCCTGGAAGGCTTCTTGGAAGAGGGGCTTCTGAGCCCAGAGAGAGTGGCCATTCTGGGCAGGGTTCCTAAGGGTAAAGCATGGGGTGGAAAAGGGGCTGGTAATTTGGCCAGAGCTGAGGAACTGCGGGGCAGAGATGTGGGAAGTGGGTAGGCCATGGGTTTTGTGTTAAGAGCACTGGAAACTGGGCAGGGTGAGGGGAGGCCATGAGGAGGCTGGCCCAGTCATTCTGGCCAGAGAGAATGCGGGCGGGGCAGAGGCCCTGCTGATGGCGCTGAGCGGCCTGGGAGCCGAGTGTGCTGGGCGGGCACGGAGAGGGGTGCAGGTGGGCGGTGCGGGGGAAGAACAGGGAAGAGCTGGACTCGGCAGCTGGCTGGTCTGAGTCCTGCACATGCCGAATGCGGGCTGGGAAACCGCGGGTAAGCTGTCTTCGCTGTTCACCTGTTGCAGGGGACACCTGCCTGGTAGCAGGATTAAAGGGGGCGTTGTCTATTACTAGCGATGATTACTATCACTAGCGAATGACAGGCGGGGAAGCCTCCAGGTGAGTTGTGGAAACATACCTGCCCTCAGGCGGTCAGGGGCACCAAGTAAGCCAAGGCGCTCGGGGCAGGGCTCCTTCCCCACCACCCCCACCGCCCAGGCGGCCAATCTCGACCTGAGCTGTTCCCAACGGCTCCCCCACGCGGACCTCCAGGCTGGGAAGCGCCCCGCACCTTTCCAGTTCGCCCCCTCCCCAGGACTACCAGGGAGACAGTCCAGGCTGGGGACGGGGCTAGCCAGAGGCCAGGCGGCCTTGGCCCGGCCAGAGCCTGCTCTGGGGGTCCAGGGGGCTGCCCTGGGATTGGGCTCCGAGGCCCGGACGCGGGCGGGTGTGGGTGTGGGGTGGGCGTGGCTGCTCCCGAGTTGCCTGCGGGCTCCAGGGGCGCGCGGGCCCGGCAGGGGCCGGGCGGGGAGAGCCCCGCCCCGGGGAGCCGCCCGGCCCGCAGGGCCGCCCGCGGGGCCGCCCGCACCGCGAGGGTTAAGGCCCAGGAGCCCGGCTGGCGGGGCGGCGCGCGCGCGGATTGGGGGGAAGTTTGGGCGCGGGGCGGGGCCCGGGGCGGGGCGAGGGGCGGGCCGGCGCGCACGGATTGGCCAGAAGTTGTGCGGGGCGGGGCGCGCGGCGGGCTCGGCGCTCGCTCCGGGAGAGTCGACAAAGCCCCGCAGGGAAGGACGCCTCGCGGCGTGGCGCCCCGGGCCCCTCGCCCCGCCGCCCCGGGACCCCGGCCCCGGCCCGCGGACGTGCCCCTGCCGCCTGCTCGGCCTGGGACCCCGCGCGCCCGTGTCAGATCCGGACCCCAGCCAGAGCCGCCAGTGCCCAGGTAGCGCCACCCCGCCCGAGGCCGGGCCCGGGGGGCGCTGGGCGGCGGGATGCGGCGCCTGGGGCGACAATGACCACGGAGCGCACCCCTCGGGCCCAGCCCTGACTCCCGCCGCCCGCGCGCCTGCCCGCCCGCCGAGCCCCCGCCGAGGTGAGCCCCATCACGCGCGTCCGAGACCCCGGGTGGGCAGACTGGAAGGTCGAGGGTCTGAGGCGCAGGCGGGGAGGGTCTGGCCCCCGGCCCCTGTGCGGGGCCGCCCGGCACGGGTCATGCGGCCGCTTCTTCCTGGCCCGCAGTGCTGCTCTGTGCCCCGCCCCTGCCCCTGCACCCCATGTGCCCCCCCCCAGCGCAAATTTGTCCGCTAATGGCGCAGGCGATTATCTGCGGGGCCGCTCGGTGTTGTGTGTCCCGCGGGCAGGGCCGGAGTTACAAGCGCCAGGAATCCAGACGGTGTTTGGAGAGGGGGGGCAGTGGGGGAGGCCAGTAATTAGTGTAAACCCTTTGTCTGCCTTTGATACCCACAGCTTCTCTCCGTGAGGCTTCCTCCACCTGGAGCGGGTCGAGGAGGGGGCCCGGCTGATCCGGGCCCAGGACAGGGTGGTGGCGGCCCTGGGGTCCTGGGATGGAGAGTGGCGTCCCAGTCCCAGCGCTCTGTGATCGCTCCCCTAATGCCCCCAGGTCTGGACAGGCCGAGATGACGCCGAGTCCCGCATTGCTGCTGCTGCCGCTGCTGCCCCTGCTGCTGCTGGGGGCCCTCCCACTGGCCGCCGCCGCCCGAGGTGAGTCCTGGCGCCTGGCCAGGCCAGCCTGGCTCGGCGAGCGCCGCCCCTTTCCCCCGGCGGCCCTGAACCCTGCCACAGTGCCCGCCTGGCACGCGCCCCGTGCCTGCCCCTGCCAGCCTGCTCACCAGGGCCCCCAGCACTTGAGGGCCCCCTCACCCACAGAGTCCCCCAGCTCCTCTGAGAGGCTCACCTCACTCACGATTGCCACTGGTGGACTCTAGCCCTGGCCCCCCTCAGGACACACTCCTAGTCTTGCACACACACACACTTTCACATGCATTTCTGAAGTCCAGAGCAGCTGGTCACCCCTGGATTCTTAGGGAGTGGACCCAATTAGGACCCTGGGAACCTGCAAAGACCCCAGAAAGCCAGGGCGGGCTAGGGGACACCTGGTGACATTCTCAGAGCCTGGGTCTCATCCTGACCCACAGCCCCCCAGCTGATCCAGCCCTTCCCAGGCAGTGCAGGGTAGAGGCTGCGTGGAGGGGCTGAGCCCCAGAGCACTGGGACATCGTGGCACGGCAGGGGCCATCTCAAGGCAGACACCTGAGGACTGCATGCTGCATGGCCACACACTTTGCCTCTCAGCATGTGCTACACCACGGCCTGGGCACGTCCCCACGCATCTGATGTCCAAGTAGGTAGCCCCAGCCCTGGACCCAGCCCCAGCAAGGGGCATCCATGGTGTGTGGGTGATGCGTGCCCGCCATATTCCAGGAGCAGGAGGACACAGTGCTGGCCTCCCCTGTGGCTAGGCGGGACCTGTGGCCAGGCCGGCCCTTTGGGTGTGCTGACCACTCAGGATCGTCCCTGCTCTGTCCACCAGTCCTCTGAGGCCTCGCACCCCGCCCCCGCCGCCCAGTGAGCGCACCCAGCCCAACCTGGCCTTATATGGCCACGTTCGGGTGTTGGGTGGCAGGCGGCGGCCCAGGTGGGCCTTATGCCATAGTACCCCCCCGCCCGCCAGGGACTGGCCGGCTGGCTGGAGGGTTGGGGCTGTCCAGGCGTGGCCAGGCTGGTGGCTGTTCTGAGGGCCCAGGCAGCAACCTGGGCATTGCGGGCACTCCGGGCATGCTGGACCCCGCATGGCCAAAGACCCAGACTTTGGATCCTCTTTTATCTGCTGGATAACCCCCTATCCGCACCTGACTGTTCTCTGGCCAGGAAGGCTCTGGAGGCCTCTGTCCTGCCAGGGTCACTGCCTGGAGCTGAGGCAGGGCCTGCTTCCTCACTGAGATGCCCAGAGGGGGCCACCCCCTTCAACCTGTGCCCTCACAGCTGCGGCCTTGGGGCTGTGCTGTTGGTCTGCCCAGCTTTGCCTGCTGGAGACCCTGGCAGCACCAGGAGCTGGAGGGAGCCACATCCTAGGGCGAGGGCCTCTGTGGTTGGGGGTGGAGGTGGGGAGCAATGTCTTCCCCGACCTGTGTGGACATGCCCCCAGGCCCAGCCTGCACTGGTTGGGGGGGTCATTCCTACTGCTCTGGCAAACTGGTCCAGTGTGGACCTTCAGCTGGGCTGGCAAACCAGCACATAGAGGGTTTGGGTTATTTTTTGAAAGCCATTTCCCTGTGGTGTCACAATTTCTGGAAATAGTACATCAACAGACTCGGATCATGTTTAAAAAGTTCCCCTTTTCCCAAAGTTTCACAATCTTGGTGGGTTTGTCTTAAACTGCTTTTTTTCAATTTTGAAAAAAGACTGGATTTGGCTTTCTGTGTTTCCATTTTGTTTCTCACAGTGGGAACTTGAGAGGTTCAGCCTGAAATACCTTCCCCAAATAACTTTGAAAGAAGTCATTTTGGGGGATTTCTGAGAAGTGCCACCTTTGAACTTTTGCACAGATGGCCCTGGGAGCAGTTGCTACGCAGCCAACGCAGGAGGTCACTCTACCCTGTCCTCTGGACCTAGCCAGTGTGCACGGGGTGAGCGGAGCCCTGCCCTTCTGCGGTGCCCCATGCTACAGGGATGGTGCAGTCTCAGGGACAGCTCGCCAGGGATGCTGTGCCGGGAGGAGGCTTTAAGTGTGGGACGCTGTGGCTGTGGCCGTGTGCGTGGTACTGACTTCAGCCCCCAGCTGGGCTGCAGGGGCCCTCCCCCCTTCCCCAGGCCCCTCCAGGCAGGGGCTGGCTAGCGTGCGGTGGGCCGAGGTGGACCTGTGGGAGCCGGGCCCAGCGCCTGTGAGGTGGAGGTTTGGGCCAGCCGCCCTGTGCGCGTCTCAGGGCCCCACTCCTGGAAGGGAAAATAAATCACTGTCCCCTTGGGGGGGAGGGAAGGAGCGGTGAACAAAGTCGCCTTTGGCTGGGCCTGGAAACTCCGACCGCAGGCTCCTTTATCCATTGTGCGGGAATCAATGGGCCTCCGGGCTCTCAGCCGCCTTTCAGCCACCCGCCCTGTGCCATGGCCCTGACGAAGGGAAATGTTGGTTTTTCCCCAGCCGTGGCCTCCATCCTTCGGCTCACCCAGCCCTAGCTCAGAGGCTCTGGCTGTGCTGGGAAGTGGGCTGTGGCCACTGGCCCTGTGTGCAGCCTGGGCCTGGTGCTGCACCTTGCCCGGTAATTCCAGCCCTGGTGTATCAGCATGAGGAGGGGAAGGCAGGCCCAGGCCGCATCCCTGCTCCCCATGACCCCCATCCAGTGTTGTCTTGCTCCACCTGCTGTTGCCCTTCTGTGAGGTCACCAGGTGCCTGGTCAAGCCTCAGGTACCCAGTCTGCTGCCCTTAGCCTGAGGAGAGCAGGGCCTGTTCCAGGTGGGGCTGTCGCCGTGGGGTCCACAGGCCAGGGCAGCTGTGGTGGGATAGGGATGGATGGGAGAGGAGGCGGCCTTGGCCAGGGCAGGCCTGGGAGGAGAGCTGGGTGCCCATCCCCTGGAGGAGCAGAGCATGGGGTGGGGGGACCCCCGAGAGACACCCTGGGGGCAGGGGCTTCCCATCTTGGCAGGAAGCACAGTCACTTTTCTTCCTGAGAGATTCATAGAAGCTGTGGGGGTGGGGGAGGGGCAGGCTGGGAAGGGCCCAGGCCAGGCGTGGTGACTCCCTTGACCTCCTCTGCACTCCTGGGCTGCCCAGTGGTCCAGCTGGGGGCCCACAGTCCCTGCAGTGGACAGAGCACCAGTAAACACCCAGCCTCTGGCTCAGGAAACTTCCTTGTTGATACCTCCAGGGTGCTGATGGTCTGATGGGGTCAGGGGTCAGAGCCTGCTGTGGAGCGGGGCCCTCCAGAAAGTGCTAGTCAGGAGAGCTCAGAGCCTGCACCAGGCAAGTGGGCACCGTGAGGTGGGGGCAGCCTGGAGCCTGGTGGGCTCTGGACATGAGATGGGGCTTGCCTGGGTGTCCATCTGAGCCAGTACCCATCTGGAATGGTCCTGGGGCAGGCGGGTCTTTGTCTGCTGCTTGTGGGCCCTCCAGGGCAGTGGCATCCCCTATGTACTCTGGTGCCTACATGTGCTCTGAGGGGTGGAGGAGCAGTGCCCAAGGCCAAGGTCCACAGAAGGTGCCACCCAAAGGCTCCCAGAGCAGGCATAGAGGGGTTAGGCGGCATCCCCAGGGCCCCCCCCAGCCTGCTGGCCCACCTGGTGCACACTGCTGGGCAGTGGGGTGGACTGGTGCTCCAGCCAGCTCACCGGGCTCGGAATGCCTGGTTTCTGGGGCAGCCACCCGTTCTGTGGGTCTACCAGTTCCCCCACAGATCCTGTGTATTCTGTGCCAAGAGGCTACCTTGGGCCAGCTGGTGACCATGTTTGCCCTGGGCCTTTGCACATGTGCATAGAGCATGTGCATGTGTGTGTGTGTGTGTGTGTGTGTGTGTGTGTGCGCGCGTGCGCGCACTCGCGCCTGAGTGTTGCAGGGTGGGGCAGAGCCTGGCCCCCAGCACTGTGTAGGCAGCAGGGCCTTGTGGAAGTCCCTGTGCAAGAGCAGACAGCCCTAGGGGACTAGGGCTTCCTAGGGAGGGTGCTGGCCCCTTAGGCCACTGTCTCTGGGGTTTCCTGCTTCTCCCCTGTGCTGGGTGCCCCAGGGGGGCTGGCAATACCACGTAAAGGCCAAGCGTGGGTAGCAGGGACTGCATTTCCTTATTGTAACAGCGGTGCCTGGCAGTGCTTCAAGGAGTTGGGGGTGCCAGCCACAGAAGGCTGAGCACCCAGTTGCCATGTCACCAAAGGGCAGACACCTTGGGTCCCTCCCTTGGGTTGGCTCTGCTATGTCCCCCTGAGGCCGGGTGCAGAGGTCTATGTGGGCCAGGCTGCACCTGGCTCTTCTCCTGGCCCTCTCGTCAGAGTCCACACACTGTCCTCTGAGCCCTTCCTGCCACTTCACTTCTCCAGGAGGGGGCCCAGACACCCCCACCCATGGCCATGGCCAGGTCCACTACCTTCCAGCCTGAAGTTTTTCGGGCTGTGCAGGGCTTGTTGAGGCTGCAGCTGCCATGAGCTAGCCAGGTGGTTCCCCTATACCCACACTCCCACCGTGTCTGAGGTCGGTTGGGCCGGCGCATGTCCAGCCCCTTCGTGAAGGGGGTTCAAGGTCAAAAGGTCAGGGCATTAGTGGGGGCTGGCTGTAGGGCCAGGCACCCCAGCTGTCAGCTTCCACTTGTCCTGCACTCCTCAGGCACACTGGGGGTCTGTCTGCCCTTGCAGGTCTGTCCCTGGGGTATCCCCGTGTCCTCAGCCAGGCATTTGACCCTGATGCTGTCGCTACTTCAGCCACAGGGAACGACTCTCATACAGGCCCAGGGAACCTTCAGCCGGCAAGCCCTGTCATCCCTGCTGGGTCAGGAGGCCTGTTTGACCTGGGCTAGGGGCTGCTGTGGGCGCTGCAGAGGGCAGACACAGCTGCCCGAGCCGTGGAGGCCTGGGAGTGCCCAGTGCTGGGCTGGGCTCCTGGGCCCAGGGGCCTCGTGCCCTGAGCATTGCAGGGCAGCTTCACAAAGGAGCTGGAACAATGGGATTGGCTTTTTCCAACATATTTCCTGGTCCTGGCCTTGATTCCCACAGCCATATTGGCACGCGTACGGTGTGTCCTCGCACACCAGGGCTCACACCCCCCTGGGCTGTGGCTGTGTTCTGGGGTCCCCTGCACTCCATGCCTGGACCAGGCCCCACTTGGAGGTGCCCCACTGGTTGTGGGAGGGTGGGAAGCTGTCAGCAGCTCTGGTTCCTGCCTCTGTGTCCACATGGCCGACCCACTCCCACCCGGTTCTCCTGGCCAAACTTCCTTGAGTGCCTGCCGTATGCCAGGCCCTGGACAGACGGAGCACACAGGGCTGGGGAGAGGCTCGGGTGTGGGTTGAGCCAGGGCGGGCAGGACGGGCCCCTCCAGAGGGTCATGGGAGCTCCCGGAGGAGGTAAAGGAGGAGGGAGTGTGGGGAGAGTTCAGCTGGTAGGGACAATGAGGTGTGGGAGCTGGGCCAGTGAAGACTGTCAGGGGAGGGCACGGGGTGTCCTGCCCCTGTCTCTCCAGAGGGCTGCTTCCTCAGCTCTCCATCCCAGGGCCCCACTGCCCTCCCTGGGCCCTTGGGGGTGTCTGGGAGAGTGGAGACAGAGTGGGCATTGGGGACAGACTGTGAGGACCTTGGGGACATTGGGGACAGAGCATGCATCTGAGGACATTGGGGACATTGGGCACAGAGTGTCTGGGTACACTGGGGACAGTGTGTGTTGGGGGAATTGTCTGGGGACAGAGTGAGCATCTGGGGACGTTAGGGACAGAGTGTGCATATGGGACGTTGTCTAGGGAGAGAATGTGCTTCCAGGACATTGTCTAGGGACAGAGTGTGCATCTGGAGACATTGTGGACATGGGAACAGACTGTGTGTCTGGGGACAGAGTGCATCTGGGTACATTGTCTGGGTACATTGGGAGGAGAGTGTGCATCTGGGGACATTGGGGACAGAATGAGCATCTAGAGATATTGGGGACAGTGTGCATCTGGAGACATTGTCTAGTGACAGTGTGTCTCTGGGGACATTGTCTTGGGACAGAGTGTGTGTCTGGGTCCATTGGGGACAGTGCGTATCTGGGGATGTTGTCTGGGGACAGTGTGTGTGCTTCTGGGACATTGTCTGGGGACAGTGTATGCATCCGGGGACATTGGGGACAGTGTGTGCATCTGGGGACACTGGGGACAGATTGTGCGTCCTGGGACATTGGGGACAGAGTGTGCTTCTGGTGACACTGGGGACAGAGTATGCATCCAGGGACACTGGGGACAGTGTGTGTATATGGGGACATTGGGGACAGTGTGTGCATCTGGGGACATTGTCTGGGGACAGAGTGTGCATCCGGGACATTGGGGAGAGTGTGTTTCTTGGACATTGTGGACAGAGTGTACTTCAGGGACATTGGGGACAGAATATGCATCTGGGGACATTGAGGACAGTGTGTGTGTCCAGGGACATTGTCTGAGGACAGTGTGTGCATCTTGGGACTTTGGGGACAGAGTATGTATCTGGAACATTGTGGACAGAGTGTGAAGCTGGGGACATTTGGGACAGTGTGTGTGTCTGGGGACTTTGGGGACAGTGTATGTGTCTGGAGACATTGGGGACAGAGTGTGCATCTAGGAACACTGGAGACAGTATATGTCTGGGAACACTGAAGACAGTGTGAGTCTGGGGACATTGGGACAGTGTGTCTGGTGACACTGGGGTCAGAATGTGTGTCTAGGGACATTGTCTGGGGACAGATTATGTGTCTAGAGACAATTGTCCTTCCTGACTTGTCTGGGAACATATGACAGGGTCTGTGTGTGACATGCCTGAGCTCTGGGTGGGCTGGGGGCTGGGCTCACGTGGGCCTGGTCCAGAGGAGTGGGAAGGTGAGCCCCTAGGTTACTGTCCCCCACTCTGGGCTCTGCTGCTCTGGGCAGCCCCCACCAGCCCTGACTTCCTGTGTGTGTTTTTCACACCTGGGCAGGGTGGGGCTGGAGGAGGGGGAAGGGGTTGTTGGCCATCCTCACTCAGCCCATCCCCTCCACACTCAGTCCCCTGTGCCCATCAGTGCAGTGAGACCCTGTCCTGGCCTCACCACCCTCAGCCATCTGTCACCTGCCTGTGCTGGCTTCTCAGCGTGATGGGTGTGTGTACAGCGGGGTTTGCTGGTCCCAGCCCCAGCCCCAGAACTGTCTGCTATGCTGAGCTTCCTCCTAGGCTTGGGGAGGGGCCAGCCGGTTCCCCCACCAGGTGCTCGTGGCCTCAGGTCTTGCCTCAGTTTCCCCATTGGCTGAGTGGCTGGGAGGCCTGTCCAGGTACAACAGTGGGGGTTCACCTTTCCTGGGCTAAATATAAAGCTAAGGCAGCCGTCCTGGCAGCCAGAATTCCCAGGAATCTGGTGGGGGCAAGCTTCCTGCTGGGCATGCCCTGCTGAGGGTCCAGGGATGCCCAGGTGGGGGTAGGGTGGGGGCAGGGCTGGCCCTGCAGCAGGGGAGAGGAGGGGAGGGGAAGGGAGAGGAGGGGAGGGGAAGGGAAGGGAGAAGAGGGGAGGGGAGGGGAGGGGAGGGGAGAGGAGGGCTGTTTGCTTTAGGATAAGGCTGGCTCCTCTGGCCTGCCGCTGCAGGGCATGTAGGCTGCCCTGGGGGCCACGTTTCCGGCAGTCTGGCAGTCTGATAGTCTGGTGGTCACTTGGCTCTGCTCCTCTTCTTGACAGTGACCGTGGGCGGGTCCTGACCTCTCCATCTGTGCCTGTCCTCTCCTACTTCCCTGCAGATGCCCCAAACTTCTTCCTTCTGCTGGAGGCAGGGAGGGGACGAGGCTGGAGGTGACTTTCCCTGTAGCGCAGCCAGGCTGGGGCTTCTCTGCCACTGGGGTGGGCTCCTTTCTGGGGTGCAAGATCAGGATAGGGCTGGGCAGTCTTTCCCCTTGCTCCTTCCACGTGTGCATGGGCGTGTGCATGTGGGCGTGGGCGTGTGTGCGAGGCTTGTGCCCGGTGTCTGCCCAGCAGGTGCAGGCAGGGCAGGTCCTGCAGCCTGGAAGGCCCCGTGGATAGGGAGTTTCAGGAGCAACAGATGTCAGTCACAGTCTGCCTGGGGTGGGGCCGGGACCCTGGATGGCTGAGGGGTCAGTCAGCCATGTGTCCATGGGCCCTGCAGATCCTCCCGCTGCGACTGTTGCTCTGGAACCGCCCAGCCTCCCTGGGTGGGTGGTGGAGGGAGCCGAGGTGGGCTGGCCATCCAGGGGGGCTGGTGAGGAGGGGCTACTGGCTGTGGGGACCTCGGCTGGCACTGGCCTGGGGCCCACAGTGAAGCTGGGAGAGCCCTGATTGGAGGAGATGTGAGTCAGGGGAGAGGGCCCAGAGAGGCAGGGTAGTGGGCCAGGCCAGGTGGGCTGAGGCTGGGAGGAAACCTCTGTCCCCATAGCCCAGCCTCCAGCAGGGCTGGGATGGTGCCACCTGGAGTCAGAGACTCCTCAGATCCCTTCCTGATAGCATTCTGGCGCCTTAAGCCTGGGTGCTGACCTTCCTGGCCAGGGGTGGTTGCAGTGCAGGGTAGACACCCCTCACCAGCGGGTGGGCGAGTGGGGTCTTGGGAACAGCACATACCGAGGGGGCATCTCCCCCAGGAGTACCGTCCAGGCCTAGGCCTGCCTGCATTTCTGACACCTGCAGGGTCTATGTGTGACCCACCTTCCCAGGCCACCAGTCCGTCCAGCAACCCAGAGGCCCCGGGCAGGGCAGAAGTCGATGGGGTGCAGGCCCAGCCAGGGTCGAGGGCAGAGTGGGCTTCTCTCTGTTGGTGAGGGAAGCCGTGGCCTCAGCCCTGGACTTGATTTCTCGGCAAGGGTTGGTGGGCGAGCAGCCTTGCAGAGCCTCGGCCTCTCTGCTGTGGGTCCCTCCTCATGTGGCCCCCATACTGGAGGGCTGGCTCCCTGGGCCAAACTACCCCCTAGGTGTAGCCTAGGGGTCTGCCAGCTAGGCAGGAGCGCTGCAGCTCCTGGGGCCCACCTCCCAACCGCTGCTCTCTCCAGACCCACACCCCCTGACCCCAGGGCCTTGGGGTCATGCCCCTTGGAGGTTAAGCCACCTGGGAAGGCATGGCCCAGGGGCAGGCAGACGGACGTAGGCAGATGCTGTCTGTGAACTCAGGTATGGATGGCACGTACACAGACAGACACAGACGTGGGCTGCCAGACCCGATACGGAAACAGCAGGCACACTGGTGCCCTCACAGACTAAGTCACACATGCCTACGCACATGCCTGCAGGGCAGACCTGGGTGATGCCATGAAGTTGTGGCCCCTGACCTGGTGGGGTTGGCACGAGGGGCCAGGGGAGCATGGGCACTCCACTGTGGTGGTAGGCATCAGAGTGCAGGGGGCCTGGGGCCTCTGTTCCCTGGAGCCGCCTTGTCCTTGAGGCCCCAGCATATTGCTCCTTTCTGTGTGACTGAGAGTTGGACCCACTTTCTTAGTTTGTGGCTTTAAAGGGATTATTGAGTCAGGCTGTGTTTTGGCCCTGGTGCAAACTATGCTCTTGTCCTCCTTCGAGGAGAGCCTGCTTCCAGGCTCATGGGCCACCTTGGACACGGAGAGTCGCTAGGGTGGTGCTTGGATCTGTTCCCCGTGCTTTGGTGGGTGCTGGGTGGACACAGCCACTGTGGTCTGGGAAGAGGGCCACATGCTTAGCCTCCACTTCCTGTGGGTGGATGCCAGGTGGAACCCCAGCTCCCATCACCACACTGAGCTGTGGGTCCCTTGTGCCCACTGCTACTCTGGACTTCTGCTGATCCTCACCTCCCTGACAGTGCCCTCCGTCACCCCTGCAGGCCCCCCAAGGATGGCTGACAAGGTGGTCCCAAGGCAGGTAGCCCGGCTGGGCCGCACCGTGCGTCTGCAGTGCCCAGTGGAAGGGGACCCACCACCGCTGACCATGTGGACCAAGGATGGCCGCACAATCCACAGTGGCTGGAGCCGCTTCCGTGTACTGCCCCAGGGCCTGAGAGTGAAGGAAGTGGAGTCTGAGGATGCTGGCATCTACGTGTGCAAGGCCACCAATGGCTTTGGCAGCCTCAGTGTCAACTACACCCTCATTGTGATGGGTCAGTCATTGGCTGGTCAGAGGTCACCTGGGTAGGGGGTGTGCAGGAGGGCAGCAGGTGCCCTGGGGAGCCACACTTGGGGCGGGTGAACCAACATAGTCCTGGGCAGCAAATCTGCCCTGTGTCCCCTGACCCACTCCACTTGTTCAGTCTATACCTGGCCCACCAGAGCCTGAACAGGACCCAGGAGGGCCTGACTATGTCACTGGCCCTAGACTAGGTCCCCCAGGGCAGCCTTGGGCTCCTATCCTCCCCCCCTCCTTGGGGGCAGTGGAGGTGTGTGAGGCCCAGGCAGTGGTCCCACTGAAGGCCTGGGCGGGGCCGCAGTCTTGGCAGGGTGTGCCTTGGCGTCGGCTGAGACTTTGAGGCTCAGGTTTCGGAGTTCAGAGGGGCCGCCGGGACGAATGGCCTTTCTGTTCTCTTCTGCCCCTGGGGCCTGGGCACTGGGGAATGGACAGGTGTCCTGTCGACACGCCCTCCACACATTGGTACTGGGCACTTGCACCCGCCTGGCCCCCACCAGGCTCCCCGGTGTGGGGTGCTGGGGTGGGGCTCCCAGGAGCCAGGCTGGCCCCTTTCATGATGGAGGGGCCGGACCCACACCCCCAGTTGCATCTGGGGTGGCCTGAGACAGTCTGGCCCTTGGTCCCAGTCTTGGTGGAGGACGCGGCTGTCACAGGGTGGGCGGCTGTCACAGGGTGGGTGGAGGAGACATTCCTCAGTGTGCCGTGCCCTGCCCCGGCACTGCCCGACTCGGGCCCCGAGGGCCTCCTCTGGGTGTGCAGTGGGAATACTGCGACCATTCCCTCCGTCCTTTCAGAGGGAACGATGACCAGGCGGTATGTGAGCCACGTCTGTTTGCCAAGCCCTCGGCCCCTTGATGTGGGCTAGGGTTACTGCAGCTGCCGCCGGGCTGGCCCCCTCTCTGGTCCTGCAGACCCCCCGGAGCCAGGGTGGGGGGGCTGGCCCTCCAGTTGCACCCCCGCCTGCAGGGTCACCTGCCCAGCTGTCCCTGGGATTCTGCGACGTGTGTGCCGCTGGTCTCCTGCTTAGGGGACTGTGATGCAATCTGGTGGGGGCTTCTTGGGACCCCCTCACCTGTCTTCCCTCCGGGTCCTCCCTCTCTCTCTGCAGATGACGTTGGCCCAGGGAAGGAGAGCCTGGGTCCTGATGGCTTCTCTGGGGGCCAAGAGGACCCGGCCAGCCAGCAGTGGGGTAAGCATACAGTTGGGGTGCCCTATCTGCTGGGGATAGGGGATGGGATGGCGCCCATCCTTACTGGTGCTCCATGGACCTGTGGCCACTGACCTCGATGCCACCCATCCCACAGCACGGCCTCGCTTCACACAGCCCTCCAAGATGAGGCGCCGGGTGATCGCACGGCCAGTGGGCAGCTCTGTGCGGCTGAAGTGTGTGGCCAGTGGGCATCCACGGCCCGACATCACATGGATGAAGGACGACCAGGCCTTGACACGCCCAGAGGCCAGCGAGCACAGGAAGAAGAAGTGGACACTGAGCCTGAAGAACCTGCGGCCCGAGGACAGCGGCAAGTACACGTGCCGCGTGTCAAACCGGGTGGGCGCCATCAATGCCACCTACAAGGTGGATGTGATCCGTGAGTGTGGGGCTGGGGCGGGGGGCCTGGTGTGGCTGGGGAGCCTGGTGGGCCTGGGAGCCGTGTCAAAGTGCTGTGTCCCTGCTGTAGAAAGGACCCGCTCCAAGCCTGTGCTCACAGGCACGCACCCCGTGAACACGACAGTGGACTTTGGGGGGACGACATCCTTCCAGTGCAAGGTGCGCAGCGACGTGAAGCCCGTGATCCAGTGGCTGAAGCGGGTGGAGTACGGCGCCGAGGGCCGCCACAACTCCACCATCGACGTGGGCGGCCAGAAGTTTGTGGTGCTACCCACAGGTGACGTGTGGTCACGGCCGGACGGCTCCTACCTCAACAAGCTCCTCATCACGCGTGCCCGCCAGGACGACGCGGGCATGTACATCTGCCTGGGCGCCAACACCATGGGCTACAGCTTCCGCAGCGCCTTCCTCACCGTGCTGCCAGGTGTGTGGGCCGCCCACCCCATGCTGACGCAGCGCCCACCACTGTCCTGGTACCACCCGACTAGGATGGGCCCCTCCCTCCCTGGGCCACGCGGGCAGGGCAGCTCTGGGGCTGCTGTCCCTGCCATGCACACATAGGCTGGTCCGAGGCACACGCTCCCTGTTTTTGTGGCGATGTTTCCCTCCCCACCTCTTCTCTTCTGTTTCTCTTGCAGACCCCAAACCACCAGGGCCACCGGTGGCCCCCTCATCCTCCACCACCAGCCTCCCATGGCCTGTGGTCATTGGTATCCCGGCCGGCGCTGTCTTCATCCTGGGCACCGTGCTCCTGTGGCTCTGCCAGGCCAAGAAGAAGCCATGTACCCCTGCACCTGCCCCTCCCATGCCCGGGCACCGCCTGCCTGGGACGGCCCGTGACCGCAGTGGGGACAAGGACTTGCCTGCATCAGCTGCCCTCAACCCTGGCCCTAGCGTGGGGTTGTGTGAGGAACTCGGGCCCCCGGCAGCCCCCCAGCTCCTGCTGGGCCCAGGCCCAGTTGCTGGCCCCAAGCTGTACCCCAAACTCTACACGGACATCCACACGCACACACATACACACTCACATACACATTCACACGTGGAGGGCAAAGTGCATCAGCACCAGCATATCCACTACCAGTGCTAGACGGCAGCGTCTCTGAATGCCTGGGTGCTGGGGCCGAGGGCAGACAGGAGGCGGCTTGGGAGGGGCAGGGGGCAGAGCACAAGGAGGGAGGTGGACCCACCACAGCAGGTGTGGCCAGCACCTTGGGGCACCCTGTGTGAGGCACACAAAGCCCTGGACATGCACACACACATGTACGCACACACAGACATGTTGCCTGGACACACACATGCACATACATTCATGTTTGGACACAGGTATGCACACACATAGACATATCGCTTGGACACATGCACATACACGTTGCCCAGACACACACACGAGCATACACAGTCATGTTGCCTACACACACGCACACGGGGACTGAGCCGCCTTCAGGAAGCTGTGTGCTGTGTGACTTGCACTGTGCATGTGGTGATGGGCTCGTTGATGAAGGAACCTTTCCAGCTCTGCGAGGGGGATTTCATGATGGCCACCGTCATTTCCCCACCCCTTCCCACCTGTGTCCCTGCCTGGTCTAGTTGGTTGTTTTTGCCACCTGCCCTGGTGCCCAGAGGTCCACTGGTGCCCTGGGCCTGGGCAGGGGCACAGCAGGCCGAGGGCCTGCCGGGCAGGAGCTGGGTGGCAGGCAGCTCCCTGCGCCTCCCCACCCGTCTCCCACTGCCAGGGAAGGGGCCTTGGTATTTATATTTAAGGAATTAAGATAATATTAATAATGATGGAGGGCTGGGTTGCGGGACTTTGGCCTCTCCTGGGTCCCAGGACTAGTCTGGCCTTGTAACCTATCCCATGTCCCCAACCCTTGGGGCCAGGCACCCACCACCCACTGCCCGTGGTGGCCCCAGACCTCTGTAATTTTATATAGAGTTTGAGCTTGAAGCCTCGTATATTTAATTTATTTTGTTAAACATGAAAGTGTGCTTCCTTCCCTCTACACTGGTGTTTCTGCCTGTGTCTGCGTCTGTGGTGTACGCCAGCATGCCTGCATGCACATACATGTGCTCACGTGTGCATGCCTGCCTGCCTTCCAGGCGTGGCTTACGAAACCAGCAGCCAGGGGAGTCCTGTTGCTCGCCTGAGGCCACAGGGGCTGAGACCTGGGGACTGTCATCAGTGCCTCCCAGCAGAGGACTTGGGACTTCTGAGCCTCAGGGTATCGTTGGGTGTGGGACCCAGGCCAGCGAGTCTCACCCATCCTGGGCTGTGTGTGTGCAGCACTGCCTGCACACCTGGCCAGGCCAACATCCCGCGCCCGTGGCTGAGTGGCACCCCTCTCCACACTGTGCATGGCCCCTGACCCTCAGCCCAGGGCCCCAGGTCCACCTCATGGAGCTTCAGGGGGGTGGCTCCTGAGAGCTCAGTTCACCTCTGACCCCAGGGTTCTACCTGAGTGTCCTCCCTTCCACTCTGGCTTCATGACAGTGTCACCAAAGCGACACATGGAGAGTCAGGGCTGCTAGCTCTTCCCAGGGGACACTTGCCTGCCCATGGGTTCCAGAGATCTTAAGAGACGCCTCGTGCCGGTTTTGGCAAAGCCACTGGTGTGAGGCGTGCTGCGTCCCTGTCAGCATGAAGGTGCAGTGGGAGCGGCCTCAGGATTGCTGGTGTGCAGGGCACTGCCTGACTCCACAGATGACAAGGGGCCTCTCGGCAGTGTTGGGAGATCTCCCCGGCCTGGGCCCCCTCCCCCTCCACACACCCCCAGCTATGACCCCATGTGATCAGGGCAGCACCCCCTCCTCCAGCCTCCCTACTCCTGTGCCCTGAAGAAAGACCCACAGGTGTGGTCCTGACACTTCAGGGCAGGCCCCGGCCAATGGCCCCTTGCTGCAGGGCTGGCTGTGGATGCTGAGAGAGGTCCGGCCACAGTCGCTAGGGGAGAGCGGGGGCTCCAGGCGGCCTGCAGCTGGTGACCAACAGATGTTCTCCAGACAGGATCAGCTTTAGGCTGATGCCTGGTTGGGTTTCAGTCTGGAGTGGGGGAGGGGTGGGAGACCTTGGGCCGCAGGAGACCTTGGGTGGTGGGCCATCTGTGGGTTGCAGATGAGCTGCTCCTCCCGAAGGGTGGCAGCCTAAGAGCAAAGTCCTCCCAGAACCTCTGCAGGAGACTCTGGGACTGCAGACCTAGCCCCTTCCTGGCCTGAGGCCTGGGACCATCCACACGGGGACCGCCCTTGGAGCTGGTGCCCTGTGAACCGACCCATCTTGTGCCTGCCCTGGGAGGCCGTGGCTAACGTGCTGTGTGGCATTTGACTGGCTCTCTCTGCAGGATGGGCCTGGCAGAGCCAGGGGCACAGGTCTTGGGTTCCTGTGAGACCAGCCTGGCCCCTGGATGCCTCCCTGAGGGCCCTTTCAGGGGTCCTGACGACTGATGGCGGGTGGTGCGCTGGGCACGCCCAGCACTATGGGCCTGGAGCTCGAACCCCTTAGCCTCTCCCGCACCCTCCTCAGGGGCTGCCTGGAGGGCTTCAGTGCTTCCTTGCTCCCCTGCAGCTTCCAGACCCTTCTCCCTTGGCTGCCCAAGCCCAAGCCAAGCCCTGGGCCCCATCCCCAAATCCCATCTGCTCCTGAACTGTCTCCAGCTTGAACCTACTGCTGCCCCACGCTGACACCCCATGACCACGGCTCCCACCACAGAGGGGTGCGCTGGCCACCCAGCATCCTTGCTTGCTTGGGTCTGCATCCCCACGTTTCTAAAGATGAAATGGCGTTTCCCTCCCCACACATGCAGGGATGGCAGGGGGGCATGGGGCGCAAGTCCTACATGCTTCAAGGCTGTGAGTGGTGAGGCGGGACAGAGGGCGTCCTGGGGTGTGGCCGACAGGACGGAGGAGGAGATGATGTTTCTGGGGTGTAGGGGCCTATCTGGGCAGAGCATCTGAATGAGGGGGCTCCTTGAACCCCTCTGCCCACCCACACACCCATGCCTGACCCCTAGCACCTGTCACCCAGATGCCCTATCCCCCCACGTTGGGGGCTCCCAGGCCTGAGAAGAGGGGAACACATATGCTGGGGGGAGGCTCCTGGAACATCCAGGAGGCCTGTGGGCATCACGCTTGCAGGGTGGGGACACAGTGTCCAAGGTTCAGGTCCCAGGGCTGAAGGAGGATCCTGGTGGCAGCCAGCACACCACAGACAGGCTGTGCCCTGGGCCTTCCCCTGCCTGCCACTGTCACCCTCCATGCAGACAAGGCCAGGCCCTGAGCACCCTTGGACACCATGGGAAGGTCAGTGGGCCCCCAGTACCACAGGGACAGAGGCACAGTTGTCTGTGTCCCCAGCTCTGCTAGGCTCCCCCCCTTGGGGTCCCAGTCTCAGGGTCAGAGGAGGGGACCAAGCTATGTCCTCAGGGTGACCCCAGGCCAGGCCTGGCTGGGAGGGGCCTCCCTCCATTCGGGAGGAAGCTGTCAGTGTCCTGGGTGAGGACTGGCAGGGAGAAGTCCCGGGGTGCTGGGCGTGGAGCCAGGTGCTGGGCGGCGATAAGCCGCTTCCCTGTGAAGCCTAGCAGCCCGGGCTCTGACTCCTCGAATGTGTCCCCCACCCAGCCCTTCTGGCTTCAAAGGGGTGTCCGAGAGTGGCTGCAGCTGTCCCAGAGGGGGGGCCTGAGCCTGATGCCCAGGGAGGGAGTGGTGGCACGAGGCAGAGACGAAGGGATGCAGGATGGCCCCATGCCCACGGGCCTGTGGGTCTGAGGGCCTGGCTGGGGCTGTGGGTAGGGGCCGGGTACTCAGGATAAGGGTACAGAGGACCCAGGGCATAGAACAGGGGCATGGGCAGTTGGGGCACAGCAGACTCGGCTGTGAGACACGGGCCAGGACCAGGCAAGGCGTCACCTGCTGCAGGGGCTGGGGTGGGTGGAGGACCCAGCCTGGTGGATACAGAAGCACAAGGGCCTCTTGGGGACCTTGCTCAGACCTGGGGCATGAGGCTGGGACACATGTGGCCAGGCCAGCTGTGGAGGGGCTGCAGGCCTTGGGGACAGAGTCAGGGATCCCACAGGGCCAGGTATGTGTGGGGAGTTGGGTTCCCTGGGCCAGGCTGGGACGTAGGGGTGCATCCCTCTCCCAGGAGAAGCTTCTGGATGTCCTGGGAAACCAAGGGGTTCAGTGGTGGAGCAGGCCTGTGGCTGTTGACCATGAGGGCCAGTGAGGTGGCCGGGTGGGCCTGGTGGCCGTAGGCTCCCTCTGTGCCTGGCTGACACGTGGGGTGCTCAGCCTGGCCAGATCCCTTCTGGGACATGTGTGACCAGCAGTAGGCTGGTTTCCAGGCCAGCAGGTGTCAGGACAGGGTGGGGAAGCCCAAGTCAAGGGGCTATACTGGGACCAGTCAGGTGCTGTTGCCCCTACGGCCTCAGGGCCCTGGAGTTGCAGATGTATCTTCAGGACTCACAAGACTGACTCTGATGAAAGAAATATTTGCCCAAGGGATGTTGTGTCTGCCCAAGGCTGTGGCCAGGGCCTGACCAGGGGCTGGTCTTCTCCTGCCTCCTCTGCTGGCTGAGCTGCCTTCTTTGTCCCTCGAGCCCCTATGGCAGAGCTGGGCCTGAGTGGGTTTGGCCGAGGCCGGGGATTCCAGTGGCCTCTTGAAGTGGAGAAAGTATTGGCAGGGCTGCCCCAGGCCCCAGGGCCTCCTTGCGGGCAGGGAGCCCAGGACGGATCGGGGAGTTGCCTGGGCCGGAGGTCTGGCCCACCTCTGTCCGTGTGGCCCACCTGGCAGAGATGCAGCCCTGGGGAAGCACCTGGAGGTGGGCGCCCTCCACACGCTGCCTAGGTGTCCTGTTCAGCTGGGGACCAGTTCTGGTGACACTCAGAGCCCATGCTGGGCCCCAGTGTGATAGGCAGGCCCTGTCTCACCCCCACCCCTCAGGTGTCAAGGCACTGCCCTGCCGGAATCAAGGAAGGACCATGTCAACTGTCACTTGGTCTGCCCTGCTGGGTCTGGGCTGGACCCGAGTGCTGCGTCTCTTCCCGCCAGCCCCTTATCTGGCCAGACTCGGTTCCTAGGGGATCCTGGCTGCTCACAGCCCTGGCTTCCAGGGGGCCAGGCCCCATGGTTGGCACTGTCCTTGAGCACTGCCCCACCAACCACCTGGGCGCCCATGGGGAGAAGTCCTCTGTGTGGGTATGGTGGGAGAGCTGGGGAGGGGAACTTGGGGCCAGATTGGCTAAGATGTTCACTTCTTAAAGTCCCCTGGGGATCCAAGGGACTGACCTGGGTCTACTGCAGCCCCAAGTAAGAGCTGTCACGGGGGGACCCGCAGGACCCAAGGCAGCTGCCTGTCCCACCCACTCCCTGCTGAGACTGCAGCCAGCATCTGGCTTAGGGCCGGCAGGTGGTGACAGCTGCCAACAGCTGGACAGGGGGCGGTACCCGGCTTATCTCACATCAGGGGGTGAGCATTGGGGGGGTGGGTGGGCCTGGGCCCCCAAGGAACTGGGCGGTTGCAGCCCCACAGCCCCCCTCACAGCTGAAGAGGGCCTTGGCTGCGAGTCCCAGGCTGCCTCTGCGGGCTGTCTGGGGCCAGGGGCTCTCTTTGGGGAGGGGCGAGGACAGCGGAGCAGCAGAAGGCAGGGAAATGGAGGAAGCCGGGCAGAGATGGGGTCCGGGACTCTCCCCACTGCAGGTCCATGCTGGTGTGGGCAGGGCAGGTGGGCTGCAGCAGGGCTGCCCTGGGAGAGTGGCCCACGGACTCTGGGGTGAGGGGTCCAGGGTCTCCAGCACCAGGCAGAGGGTGGGCAGTGGGGCTGGTTGGCTACGCCTGCTCTTGGACACCACTGATTCCTGTTCTTCTAGTCCCTACCTCCCTGAGGCTGCCCTCTCCTTAGCTGGGACTCTCCAACCAGCAGCACCCCCGGGAATGAGGGCTGGGGGTGGGTGGGTGGGTGAGTTTGTACCTGTAAGAACAGGCGGGCCACCTAGCTGTGCGCAGGACCC